TATAAAATAAATATTATGGATAAAAATAAACATACATATAAAAATATTTTATATAATACATATATAAATAGGACCCAACCAGACGGAAGCCCTCGGCAGTGGAGACCAAACGGCCGAGGGTTAGGGCGATAGGGAGAGAAACCAGCAGACGATGCGGGCGGTATCGAGGAGCACCGCTTTCTGCATTTGAGCTTGGAGCGATCCGTCCCGGAGTCCCAGTCGCCTCAGATGTTTGGAGAGGCTGACTGGGATTACCCCATTCGCAGAAACGACTGTCGGGATAATTTTGGTCGGCACACCACCCCACATGTCGGTCACCTCGTGAGCCAGGTCCAGATACTTTGTCTTCTTATCTGTTTCGGCTTTCACGTGGTTCTCGTCATATGGAATGGTAATGTCGACCAAAAATACCCGCGACTGTGCCCGGTCCATCACCACGATGTCAGGTTTGTTCGCGACAATCATCCTGTCCGTGATGATGGGCCGGTCCCAATAGAGCCTGGCGCGGTCATTTTCGAGCACGGCCTCCGGAGAGTACTTATAGTATGGCAGTTTCCGATCCACGAGGCCGTATTTCAGAGCGAGCTCCTGGTGTAGGATTCTGGCTACTAGGTTGTGTCTATGCAGATACTCACAGTTAGAAAGCATGGAACTACCGGAAATAACATGCCGAAGCGACTCCCCGGGATGGCGACAAGCTCGACAGATGTCGACGGTGCCATCCCTTAGGATGTATTTCCGATAGTTGTTCGTCTTATAACATATAATCTGATCCTGTATCGCACAGACAAAACCTTCGGTTTCCCCAAAGAGGTCACCGAAACGTAGCCAGTTGAGGGAGGCAGTAGTATCTACGAAAGGCTCGTGTAGGGCCTTGTAGAACCTCCCGTGGAGCTCTTTCTCCTTCCATACGGCCTCTCGGTCGGAAACGCTCAGTACTCCCGGGTCCTGCCATTGCTCGTTGGCTAAGGATAGAGGGGTAAGTCCTTTATCACAACTAATGACGTCCGTGTAGATTGACTCATCCGATCTCGCCAGAAAGTAGTTACGGAGGCTGCACACCTCGCGATTGTGTATGGTAAGGGCGCTCAAAAAGCCCCTCCCGCCATGCTTCCGCGGCAGGTACAGCCTCATCACTGACGATCTCGGATGATGCATCCTGTGGGACGTCATAGTTGTGCGGACTTTTCGGTCCAGGGCATTGAGCTCAGTCTGAGTCCACCTGAGTATGCCAAAGGACTGGCATGACCCAGCCGTTAAATGCGCGTGCCTTGTTCACGCCCGACAAATGGCTATTAAACACCTTTGTCAGGCGTGCAAAAAACAAGTCACGAACTGACTGTATCATGCCAGCCTCATCGATACACATATTTTGTGACATACCCAGGTATCAGTATGTTTCAGCCTCAGAGAGGGTCCTTATGTTAACGGTCATAGATAAATCTATGCCCTCCGTGTTAGCGACCCTACCCCTTTCGACATGGAGGACCGCACACTTATCTGTCCCAAGCTCCATTTTGATAGAATTGCTGAAATCACAAGTGACTTTAAGCAATTCCATGAAATGGGAGTGATTGGAGGCGAACAATTTGAGGTCATCCATGTCGAAAAGGTGGGTCACTTTTGTCCCTCCTCTCCGAAGCTGAAAACCTCCCCCCGAGCTCTCCAGTAATACGCTGAGAGGATTCAGAGAGAGGCAAAACCATATTGGGCTCAAACAGTCACCCTGGAAAATACCCCGTCGTATCCTTATCCGGTATTCCGCAGCCGTCATCCGCTCGCCTAGATGACAAAGGATCGTACTTCATTGCTCCATACAGTGCCCGAGGAAGTCTCTTACTGTACAGTCTACTTTGTACAGTTCGAGGACCCTCTTTAGCCATGTATGGGGCACCGAGTCGAATGCCTTTTTGTAGTCTATCCAGGCGGCGGAGTGGTTCCGACGGTTGCGTTTAACCATTTTGCCGATGACCGCGTCGATGAGAAGCGGTTCCTTGGTTCCACGACCGCCGCACCGACATCCATTCTGAGTACGAGACATAATCCGATACACATTAATATGCCGGGTGATTCTCATACTCAGAATAGATGTCAGTGTCTTATAGATGGTAGGTAGACACGTAATGGGGCGGTACTTACTCGGGTCTGTGGTAACCTGATCTTTAGGAACCAAATGAGTGACCCCAGTAGTAAAGAGGCTCGGGAGCGACCTCTGATCGAGAGCCTCTTGGAACTGTCGGGCGAGCACAGCATGACACACCACGAACCCCTTCAGCCAGTAGTGATGCAGCCCGTCGAGTCCCGGACTTTTCCAGTTCGGGGCTCTACGGACTGCCTCAGATACGTCGTCGGGTGTTATGACGACGGGGTCCATGGGTATAATGTCTGCACATTGTTTCGCCACGACTTGTGTCCAAGGGCCCTCACTGTGGTCTACGGGCTCTGACCACAGGCTACGCCAGAAGGCGACAGTGTCTGCCTGGTCCGGTCCTTGGCCCGTCCCACAACTCATTGGTCGCTCCAAAGATTTGTAGAGCCTCTTTTGGTCACTCTGGAAGAGGCGATTCTGGCTAAACCGCGCCGTCCTCTCGGAATATCTCCGAATCCGCTTCCCCCAAGCAACGATCCTCTGCTTCAGGTCATCTATGCGCCCCGTTAGTTTTTGCGTAATGTCCGGCTGGGACAAGTTGATGTTGGTCGCAGCGAACGCCATCCTAACGGTGCGCACAATTCTGGGCCTATTATTGCCCGACCTGAAGCTTATCAGCCTGCCGATGATGGCCCTTGCCTTTCCGATACGGTTCTCAATTCTTCTTCTCCATGCTGGGATAGTGCTACCTGGTCTGGTAGCACGTCCAGCCTTGGGAAGTTTAGCGCCAACGATTCGGCATACTGCCAGTGCAGCGCCAAAGAGAATTGAGTCCGTATCGCAAAGATCCCGGCTAGCTTCCAAATAGGTTGTCAGCATCGGGTTAAGAGACCTCACGACAGACCGACTCCGCTTACTTAGGGGTATGCGGGGGAGACGTGGTCGATTCTCGAGAGGCGTTTTGCGCACCTCCAGAATTGCCTCCTCCAATATGCCTCCCATCTGCTCTATTTCTTGGGCGACCATTCCATCATCGCACGAATCTACAGGAGCCGGGGGGTTAACCACGGCCTCCGCATCTGCTTGTAACCCTGCAAGGTCTGCAGCTTGCGGGTCCGTATCCCCAGCCACTAAATTTTCATCCGATGAGGGAACAGCCTCACGTCGTAGTCGTTCGAGCTCGGCATCATCAAATATTTTTGAGCGCATGATGTACCGAACTCGGTCTGCCAGGTTTTGCTCGGTGACGGTTATAGATGGCTCCAGCTCAGCAAAAAAGCGATGCATCCTTGCCCGATACGCAAATCCTCCAGTCTCACTCCCTTTCGCCCTAAGATACGCCCGCATTGCGTTCCTATTGCTGGATCCGAGAGGACCCTGCCGACACCAACTGGTGGGGATGATGGATGCGAGGTACTGCTTGGTGGTCGTGCAGTACCCCGCACTCGGCTGGCGCGTCCCGCATGCTGCCACGTCCAGCGCCAGCTCCAGACGTGCCCTGGCGGCCCCCAGGCAGCGGCCCTATGCGTATTCTCTGGGAGTCCATCATCCATTATAGTTTAGGGCGTCATTTAACGGAAGACGCCCCCAGACCGGCACCGTTTTCAGTACTGGTGTGGCCGAACGGACAAACGGGCCTATGCACCCTCATTTATGCCGAGGCACGGTGCAAACACCTATTGGCAAGGCGCTGACTGATTGCGCCGACGCAACAGTTCTGTCATTTGAACTGTTACGCCGGTGGGCGATGGGGTCGTCACATCCCTACGCCTTTATTATTATTATCATTATATATATATATATACAAGAATTGCTCGTTTAAAGGATAAGATATATATAATTAAGAATATTGTACTTTGTGCATTATCCATCCCTCGTCGACAGGGGTCACAGGAGTATATCGAAAGAGTTATATCATTGATATAACTCTTTCGATGAAACTGTTAAAGCCGCCGAGCTAATACCTTACTATTCATACGAAAAAGTGCTTTCCGCTGTTTAAATTTTTAGTAGGCATTTTACTGGTAAGGCTTTTAGAACCTTCTGAATTGACTAATAGGGTCCATATGATTGGTATTTTGACTTTTTGATGTATTACGTACTATGTCATAAAATATTACCTTGCTTAGCTAATACTTTTATAAATTATCGATAATTAACAACCCCTTTCGTTCAAGTTAATTTAATTAAAAGGTAAATTAGGGATGTGGTAAGTTAAGAAATATATCGATATTTATAAAAATATCAACATCGGCCTCGATATCTTTAGGCCTAGTTGTCCAAATAAAAGGTATATCAAGTATTAGTTAATCTGCTTACGTGTCGGGTTCGAATTTGAAAGAATATCATTTTTATTCGTTTTGATTGAATATTTTGTATCAACATATTGGATTCAAATATAACACCTAAAATATCGATATATAAAATCAAAAATATCGATAATTTTTCGTATTCATCCATAAGGTACATTACTATTGGCTACTATTTTTAATTAAATATTATGACATACGATGTTTAATCGGTCGGATTATTTTTTCCTATTTCAAACACGACATTTATTGGAGTGATTGAATTACTTAAACACTTTTTTGTCAATAAATATTTCCTGTACATTTCATATATCCTTTTGAACACGATATTAAGTTGTAGGGTTGGATTTCATCAGCTGTAGTACGTAAACAAAGGGAATGTCAAGAGTGGTGAAGTTTTGAAACACTATTTCAAGTGCGTTGTGGTTAAACAATAAAGCATAATGGATGTGGACGGTTCCGCTATCCCTGGCGAGATTGATCAAAACTTATTATTACAATTTAGTTGTATGAACACTACTGATAGAGAAGAACTTATAGGCCAAATGCAAAGGTTGCTAGGTCCCAGTTTAAATTATAACACAGCTAGTTTTTTCTTGGATATGAGTAATTGGTAAAGTATTTCAATATACATTTTGGTTTGTTAAATATGTGATTGTCTCTATTCATTTCTAAATTTATTTCAGGAATTTACAAGCAGCAATTTGTTGTTATCTAGATTATAGCCTGCCTCCAAAACTTCCATCCATGTCACTCAAAATGGCCCAAAATCAAGAATCGGCGTTGGCTCCAGGTTCTTGGTAAGATTTGTCAATTTAGTAAATAAAAAAAATGAAATATTCATTTAAAAATTTTATATTAAATGTCTAGAAATTATAGTACTGTGTGTTAAATCATTCATTAACAATGGCTCAAGGTTTATCTCGAGTTTTGTAATTGAATGATAGGCATTCTTAAATCCAAATTTTAATGTTTTTTGCTCACCTATATGTTTTGTAACTATTGTAAAGTGGTTTTAAGGAAATGATTATTACTTTTTCAGTACCTGTATATCATAGTATTGATGTAGTACAAATATCTCCTATTAATTAAACTGTAACCATGTCGGTTAATGTTTTAGACTTTTTTAAAAGTTACAGTAAAGGAAAAATTATAATGATTATAAAGTGTAAAGCTAGAATACATCCGTGATGTGTTATGTCAATGCCCGCGCACTTGATTTGAAATCCACAATATTTAAGGGGCTATTTATGATATTTAATTTTTTTTACTACTATCCTGGTGAAGAAAAATATTTTGCAAGCACTTTAACTACTTACATATATTATTTGAAACTTTAAAGGAGATACTGTGATATGTCAAGGTAATGTCATAATGGGGTAGATTTATCCTCATAAATGTAAGCATAGAAACTTCATAATACAAATAAAAGAAAAATTTCATCCAGCCATTGAAATTTTCCATAATAATTGATATTTTGGTAAACAACAAAAAGCCCATAATATTATAGTTTCTGATTACAGTTTTGAACAAAGCTGGAGTATTGCCAATACAGGAGCTGAAGCGTGGCCTGGAAGCTGTAGACTTATACAAGCAGGAGGTGAACATTTAGGTGCAACAACAACTTATGTTCCTCCTTTACCTCCTGGACATTCCACTAATGTAACAATGAAATTAACAGCGCCTAGTGTGCCTGGTACTCACAGAGGTTATTTTCACTTGGTGACTGACAAGGGTGACCAAGTAGGAGGTAAATATTATCAAATAATGATTATAATTATCAGGTTTTATTATGTCATCTAATATTATTTCAAATTACATAACCTAAAAGCCATACAAAGCGATTGTGCAAAATAGCAACAATACTATATTATAAGTCAGTAAACAAATATGATAATATAAATATGATTCTTTAACATAATGACTTGCTTTAAGACAACCCACCTTGATATTTTATGGAAATTTTTATGTTAGTAAAGTTAATTTCTATTTTGTTTTTTTTGAAATATTTAAATGTTGTTTTAATGTTATTTTAGATACTTTATGGGTTGAAATCACAGTAGAGTCAGAAATGACTTTAGCACTTGCAGAGCAATTGGCTGCTTTGCCTGTTCCCAGTAGTAGATTGGATGAAGGTGTAACTCAGGTATGTAGGTTATAATAAGTTCTGGCAATAGCATATTTAGAAAGTTAGTTTTAAATCCTCAATTATAAATGCATAATTCGATCTTCAATAATATTGTTCTTCCTTTCCTTCATTCATTTTTGGAAAACAATTATTGTTTACAGAATGTTTGTTATTAAAGGTTAAATTGTGTATTATTTTTTAATTTGCAGATGCCAACACAGGATGACCAAATGTGTTGATGATTTTGAATACAATTAATTTTGTACAAACATTTTTTTTAAAGGTAGCAAGTAGCATCTGTTTGCTCTTGTAGAGGTATTTATTCTAAAATAAATAAAAATGGGGCTATTAATGTAAATCAGTGTACAAAATGCTATTGTAATATACCTTCAAGTGTTAAATAACTAAGGCAATTCAAACTTGTTATTGTTAAAATATTACAAAATGTTTAAAATCAATTTATTACTAGCATCACTTATTTTAAGATTAAAATGCCATTTAGTAAATTTAGGGGTTTTATTTTTTGGCCCTTAGGTTTTAAACTAATTTAATGCAATGAATCATTAGCAATTTTGATATAATTTTTGTTAATAAATATATGATGCAGGATTAAAGTATTGTTTTATTGTCACATCTATATAATTATGTCTTAACAAGAAATGTCTTAAATTAAGTAAACTATACTGCCATTTCCATATCAATTTTTGGGTGAGGGCTATAATCCTTTATAATGAAGTCTTCATATTTGAAGTCATCTATGCTTTCAACTTTGCGAGCAAATTCGAGTGTTGGAAAAGGTTTAGGTTGCCTCTCTAGTTGCTTTTTTAATGGTTCAACATGGTTTAAGTACACATGAGTGTCACCTGTTGTATGTATAAACTCCCCAGGCTGTAAAAACATACAATTTAAATTAAGATTACAAAGATATACATATAAAGATTAAGCTGACTATTTGTGTGGGAATAGAACACAATACTTTACACCTTAATGATATGCATGTTGCAAGTCTTAAAGTAAGTAAAATTATTTATTAGGTGCATGTTTGAAATTGTATATAAAAGGATTTGGTGAATTTATTTTACAATTTGTAAAATAAATATGTTTAAGCATATGTCTGCCATAAACAATAAATATACATTGATATTAAAAAATCTAAAAAATATACATTGATATTAAAAATCTCAAAAAAGAATGTGATAGTTTTAAGGTCTTTTTTGGGCAAAATGAAATAACTAATATGTGGTATGGACTTTTGAGGACTGAGAGATTATAGTTCCATATTGTTATTCTCAAGCCCTTTTTTTATCATGGCATCACATTAAAGGCACAAACTACTGTTATACAAAGCTTGCGTAAGGCCAATCATGTCCTACGCTTGCATGATATTCGCACATACAAATCCTACGCGCATTAACAAATTGCAAGTAGTTCAAAGTAAGTTTATCCGCCGCGCAACCAGTGCGCAATGGTATCAGCGCAACGTCGACCTGCACAGCGTTTGCAGACTCCCGACGATTCGCGCTCATTTTAAAGATTTGACAAAACGGTTCTTCGATAGAGCCCAGCATCATCCCAACCCTCTGGTGGTAAGCGCAGCAAACTACCAACCGGACACAAACGCGAACGTAAACAAGCGTCGCCCGCGAAACGTCCTCATCGACCCGGTCGACGAAGAGGACTTAGATACGATGGACCCACCGCCGGGGGTCCCGCCGGATAACACTACACCCACAGTTAGTGTAACAACAATCACACCAGTTCGCCCTCGCCTCCGAGCACGGCGAGACCCACACAACGCGTACACAAGGTACACCCGCGTTCCGGGGCGCTTCTCACCGCTCCCAGCCACCGATTAGCTAAATGCACAGTCGACGGCCGTCGGGGTCTCGGTCCGAACCGGCGACCTCGACGGCCCTTAGATGACACACCATAGTAGTTAAACGCACACATGCGCGACCCTACCCATAGCGGAGGGTCCAAACCCGTGGGTTCTGGCTAGCTCACCGGTTCTGCGTCCGATGAAGCTTTAATAGTCTCGGGACTGAAAGCAAAAACATCAGTTAATACAAGATACAAGATACATTACTTCATTTTCTAATAGTGTTCATTGTTGTATTCAAGTAACTAATGTTTAGCTTTTCAGGTAAAAAATCAATGGTTAGGGTAGTTCTAACCTATCTCCTTAACAAATTTATTATTTAACTCTATTTGATATATGTATTTTTACATGCACTGTATTCTAAATGTTAATATTTACCTGCAATCCTGTTATATGTGCTATCATGTGTGTTAAAAGGGAGTAGCTAGCAATATTAAAAGGCACTCCAAGACCCATATCTGCACTTCTCTGAAACATCAAGCAAGACAATTTGCCACTAGCCACATGAAATTGAACCAAACAATGGCATGGAGGTAAGGCCATTTTCCCAAGATCTGAAGGATTCCATGCACACATAATCATTCTTCTGTCAGCTGGATTATTTCTGGAAAATAAATTATAGTAAGTATATATATTTTTATTTATGTGAAACATCTATTGGCACGTGGCAGAAAAATCGACTGCTTTGCCGTAACAACTAATGGCATGACGCTCTGATGTCATCATACCCTCTCCATGTCTGTCTTCCTGCATATACTACATGCTTTGTGATATCTTTAAATAAGCTCTGCATACTATTTTTATCAGACTATAGCATACTTAACATGTTTACTGCTCATTTAAACATATTGTATTTTCTTTCTTGAGATCAAATATTATTGCGTTTAAAGTAATTAAAATCATTTGAATCAAAATTATAATTTAATAAAAATATCAGTGGCAGTGATAAACAAGTGAACAAAAAAACATATGTATGTGTAACCTTTACATGCGGTTGAAGCAAAACTAAAAATTATTCTTCAGTTGATATATTAACTTGATTCACATTTGCCGGGTGTCCCATGATGGCCCCCTTTTTTTTTAGATTTTTTTAATGTGAGAGAAGAGAGCAAGCATGCTGGTGGGACCACCTCTTTTTAGTTCTCTCTTCAAGTGATAAGGGGCCGTCCATTAATCATGTGAGGTTTTTTAGCATTTTTTAATCTTCCTCCTCACCTTTGGTGATATGTGGTGAGGTTTAAGACTACCCTCAATAATACAGGTTTATAGTATAATCTAATTTTATTCTTAAATTAGGGACTATGATAAAAATGTAACAGCGAGTCAAGTTCGGCTTAGAAATCACGCGTTTGTAGAAAAATTAAATACGCATGATATTGTACTACACCCACCCCCCTTGTGATATTTTGTCAACCCCCCTCCCCTCCTTTCGAGCATTTTAAATTTATACATTGGAACCAGTTATAATAATTTAAAACAAAATGTGAAGCTTGAATTAAGACAGAAACTCCCTGATATGCAGTTTATAAAAAATTAATTTTTCAAATTAATTTTAAAAAAAATTAATTTTTCAAATTAATTTTTTACCTTAATATTTATATAATTGGTAATATATAACTTAGAAATAATTAGATGAGAATTATGTGTTGAAATTAAGGATGTTGAACTTACTTAATTGTATTTATAACATTTTTTAACTGATCAATTCCTTCATTACTATAATCAGTCTTTGAATCCACATATTTGGCACCACTGTACCTCCACTGGAATCCATAAATAGGACCAAGATCTCCTAAAAATGAACATTTTTGTTAGACCTTAGCTAATTGAGTGAATTATACTAGCCATTCTGTGTCTTTATTCTAGAAGTCACAATCTTTTCTTTGTCAACCATGTTTATACGAGGCAATGACTTTCTATGTCTGTACAGCTCCATTTTTCAAATAGGACCAGTGTCCTTGATATTAGCGAGTTCAAACAAACAAGAAAAGATTAAAAGATCCAGGGGCGAATTGAAGCTAATTATAGTGTAATAATCATTTTCAACACTTGAAAAGAAAATACATCTTATTTATGTAAATCTAGTCAGCCACCAATGGCCATTGAATAAAAAATAATATTCTGCCACTAGTGGTAAATTATGATAAATGTTATTGTGTTGCAGTTGTTAGGTATTTAAATGTGTTCTATGAAGCAGTTCAACATAGTTTAATTTTAAATAATTATACATTATAGTGTAATTAAGTAGTTTTATACTGGCAGTCTAACATATAATGCTATTCTGCCTCAAGTTATTACTCATTAGAATATATTACTTATTGCAAGTTTTATTAATTAAACAATAAAATTACCATATATTCGAAAATTATGGATCAACTGACGGGAATAAACAGTAATAAGACTTAAATATTTAAATGTTTTTTGTTAGATCATAAATCTGATTCTTTCATGCGCTCTTGCCAGAATTCTCGATATAGCACCCCTGCATGTCATGTTATCCACTTGACATTCACTCTGCTAATGACATCACTGGCTTGCAATGCTCACCACCTTGCCCCCATTCCACTTGCCTATGCGAGCTTGCTTCACTCATGATCACCAACACAAGCTTCTGGCATTTTTATATTCACTATGGGGGATGGGAATGGTAGAGACCATAAGAACACATGGAATTGGGGTTCTCTGTGTCGGATCTGTGACTCACTTTGAACCTAACTTAATCCACTATAAGAATCCACAGAATACCATTATTTCTTGTTCCACCTATTGCAACAGAATAAAATTATATCTTGGTCATTGGTGGCAGACTAGACGCTTCCTTTAAGTAATTAATACTATTTTAAATAAAAACCTATTCAGTTTACCTTCTTCACGATCAGTGAAACCTAAATTATCGAGAAAGCTTCGGGAACCATTAGCATCCCATATATGTATTCCTTTATTAGCCAGTGCCTTGCTATCTGTAGAACCAGAAATCATCCACAACAATTCTTCAATAACTCCTCTTATAAATACCCTTTTAGTTGTTAAAAGAGGTAAAGTATTATTTGCTAAAGAATACCTTTGCATTGCGCCAAATACAGACAGAGTACCTACACCAGTTCTATCGATTCTTTGGTCACCTGCAATTTATTAATTTTTATTAACTTTTCCATAGGCGCACATGATTACCATAAATAAAACATTCATACCTTTTTCAATAATATTCTTCACAAGATTGAGATACTGATATTCATCATGATTAAAGTTAAGTTCCATTGTTCAGCGACAAATAATGTTATTGTAATTTCAATACACTCCAGTAAATGAAGACCTATTACTTCTTAATCTGTATAGAGTTAACAAGGTAGATATTAAAAATTGATGAATGAATACTATTATTAGGTGGTAGTAAGTTTTCGCGCCAAAAGACACAAAATTCATTGTTGGTAGTTGGTACGAATGGTAGGTACTAGCGATGTCCGACTCGAGTTATTTGACTAGAATAACTCGAGTCAAACCTTAAACGAGTCAACTCGATTTCAGTTTTAAGCAACTCGAATCAACTCGGTCGTCCGAACGCAAGCCGGACGTTATACGCGGCGGCTTCACGAGTTGTTCCGAGTTACACACGCGGCTCGCGCGCGCGGTTCGTTAGGCGTTGCAACTCGCATCAACTCGAGTTGAGTGAAATGTAAAGTTACGTTACACGCGCGCGCGCCGTTCATAAGGTGTTGCATCTTACTCGCATCAACTCGAATAGAACTCGGGTTGAGTCGGGCTCGTTCGGCTAGGATCGGAAACGGAATTGCGCAAATGAAAAACCGCTTTAAAAGTTTATTTTGTTTTTTGATTGACATTTTGTTATTTGATTTTATTAGTTGGCCGTTGGCGATCCGCGTGCGAACTGACATTTTTGATTTGTTAGTGATCTGTTTTGTTTTGTTTGTAACGACGTCAAATAACAGAAGCGTGGCGTGGGAATTCTTTGCTATAAAAACAGAAACTTTTTTTAACTTTATTTTCGATAAGCAATCGATTATGTACAATTATATTTTATAAGTACGACTTTGAGGCGATAGATGGCGGTATTTTTTTGTCGTATTTTCTTAAACACGATGTTGAGATCTGCGCTGGAATAATATACAACTTTGTTGATTGATTTTCGAAATAAAATGCACACTAGTGCCAATTGATTGTAAATTTTGTCTTTGAAATCCCAACCGTCGGACACTGTTCGAGGTCGAGGTGTATAGAAAAAGGAGAGGATTAGTTCAGACCACAAACGAAGTTGCGAATCGACTCGAGTAGCCACATAACATCACGATTTAACATCATTATTACTTCCTATCTAATTAGCCTCGAGTCGAGCTGACTCGTGCTCTCCGAGTTGACCGAGTCCCCCCCCCCCCCCCCCTGAGACTTCGATGCGAGTCAACTCGAATTGCGATTCGAGTCAGTTGCCAAATCAACTCGAGTAACTCGAGTCAAAAAAAACCCAACTCGTTCATCACTGGTAGGTACCTGACAGATAACATGTTATAATGATGTCAGTTTTTTATTAAAGCCTAAAATTTTATTTTAGGAAAAAAATATAATTATGATAAAAGTTTAATAACTATGCAAATCAATACTTTCCGTATATAGTTACATTGTTACTGTCTTGCTTGTTGCTGTCGTTCTTGTGCTTGTCTTTTTAACTAAGAGAATTTTATTACACAATATTTTTCTCTGTATTATCTTTAAATTCTATGGTAACAATACTACAAGATCGAGCCATAATAAAAAAAATACTACAAGATTCTACTCAGAAGTAATAAACTGTAGGTATAGTAGGCGAAGACACGTTTATTTGAAGGCGATTAAATTTAGTCTAACACCTATTTCAGAAGGATTAATAAAGTAATATAGTTTAAAAAAACATTTTTTATCTGTTGATCGTTGTTCTAGCAACAGTTGAATTGTACGACGTACACGTACGTTACGGTGGTTACGGCTTACCTACATTATTTATTTGACATATTTAAATTGTTTAGATACAACCTACAACAAAGTATAATTCTAATTTGGACTTTATAATAAATCTTATAACTAATGTTTTGCAATTACAAAAATTAATATATTTTTTTTTATTTAGACACGTATTAACTCCTATACGCAGTTACATATATTGTAAATTTTTAAGGGTAATAAAATTATCCATACCTTTCTAAAAATCCATGTAAATAAAATTTAATAATATTTAATACGTAATTTCAATTCCCACAAGTATTTAATTTCAGAGGAAAATGCCGTCGCAAGAGGCACCTAACGTAGAACTCGGCTCTGCACCGCGTACTCCAAGTCTCGTCGCTTCCCCATCACCTTCTGAGATATCAAGCACAAGTTCGCCTGAACCACATAGTGTTCGAGCAACACCTTTATTTAGGTATTATAGAGGACACGTTTAAAAGTATGCAAATGTTGCTTTTAAGGTGTTATTCAGTTGTTGTTTTTTTAATTTGTATATTATTTGTATATATGAAAATAATAAATCCTTATTTCCGCTTGCTATAATCTAAGCATAGTTCTCTGTGTTCTCTTCGATCAAATGACCAATTCCAACGTTATGGAAATGGGTGAACATTACAGGGCTCTAGCTATACCTCCACCGGAACCGGAACAGCCCCCCGGGCAAGACGAGTTAGAGCGTCGGCTTCCCGGATATAGGCGTATTGTCATCCCTAGAGAGTTGACTTTAATTGAACTGTTGGTATGTTACGTGTCCGATAAATTTTAAGTCCCTAGTACTTAATAGGCGGACGGGTAGTTTCGCAATATCCTTTAGGTTTGATTGTTTATGATTGTATAAATAATTATTTCCATATAATGAAATTATACAATCATATAATATTTAGTTTTTTGGATTTGATATCAAAGTTATTTATTAGAATATCTTTCATAAATTTTTTACAGCAACCACATTTTGTTTTCGACAATCAATGGCTATAATAATCGAGCAGTCTATTTTCCACAAAGATTATTAGATCTTAGATGTGACAAGTGTTAAGTCTATCCAAGCATCAATGGCATATGTGTGACAGCGATTGTTACGTGAAGACCTACAATGTAATAGCTTATACTTATATTATGTATTCAACGTCCTATTGATTTGTCTATAGTTACGCCATATACACATAGTCTTGTAGTTTTTTTAATTTTTTGTAAGATGTAGATGTCCTCAGAACCTTTTTCGTTCACTGCTGAACACTTTGTAAGTCCGCACTTAAACTTGTAATTATAATTTTTGTTTTAGTGCTGGCTCTGAAAGAAGCCACCGTCTTGAAGCTCGAGTATACTGAGTTAAAAGTCAGCGCTCGGTAAATTAAATTAATTTGTGCACTCAATGCGATCCCAGGCCGCCTCAGTCATCTAACCGGGAAAATAAGAAGGGTTTTATTATGCAGAGCCGTGATAGCTCAGTGTCCGGGCTCTCGCCTTTAATTCAATATACTCGAGCAACCTGAGTTCGATCCCTGGTGCCGGCACCAATGAAGTTTTTAACTTTAAGTGCTGTCTTATCACGTGCTCCGCGGTGAAGGAAAACATCGTGAGGAAACCTGCATATTTTCGAAATAATAACAAAAAAATATTTCGAAGATATGTGAAGTCCGCCAATCCGCAGTGGGGCCGCGTGGTGGACTATGCCCTGATACCCTCTATATAGAGGAGGCCTTTGCCCAGCAGTGGGACATGTATAGGCTGTTACTTTACTTTTTGCAGAAACAATGCAGTGGCGTAACATCAGATGAAGAGGTATTGACCATACGGGAAGCGAAATTACGCGTAGTGGCAGAGCGCGTTGGACTAAGGAGGTTACATGTCCTTGTACCTCTCCTCCGCTCCTTGACCCTTGATGGAAGCGCTCTTCTGTCGTTACGGGAGCTGGGAATTGGATTAGTTCGTTTAAAGGTATGTAAACAAATTGGCATTGCTTTCGTAAAGGACGCTAATTCCGTTTTTGCTGTCTTTTTATTATTTTACATTTGAATGTCTTAGAACAGTTGTCCTCTATGTGGTCAGAATTATAATTCATCCAAGTCATATTTCATCCCGATCGAAGCATATGTCTTTCTTTTAGTATGCAATTTCCTGCATAGTTAAATTTTCTGTGTTGCCAGTGACCTGTGTACCTATATAATTGCCTGTGTATTCATACTAACGAAATAGCTGGTGCGTGACAACTATTCCATTTAATGGTAAGCAGTAATTGTAGATGGTAAATGCAGAAACTTATTAGCTGATTAAAAGCCAAACTAAAATACGGCAGAGAACTTGCATTGACACTCATGGACTCGGCAAACTGTTGCACTACTTCGCTGTAAACATGCTTTGGTTTTTTATGTAGTCTTTAAAAAGTAAGCCAAAAGGATTGACTGATATGTACAATTACTGACGTCACAAATAACCAGAGTGAAGTGGAAGTATTACAAAAGTATAAAGTTTCAAGAGTGTTTGTGAAGGTGGTAACTGGGGCCCTCTTTTAGCAACGCATCTGCAACTCCACTGTAGCTGTGGATGTTTACAGCCGGCGAAAGTTATTCAACGTCAGGTAAACCACCTGCTCGCTTGCCACCTCCTCATATAAAAATCGATTAACAAGCAACTAAGCCAACGTAATTGTTGCCAGTTATATATAGAATAATTTTACAGCTGAGGCGAGAATTTTTATCTTTAAGCAAACATTTTAGTATAGGGTACGCACTTTCTGTGTGCTCCGTTTCACACAGATTGATCAGATTTATTAAATTTGTCTGCAAAGGAATACTTCATCAATGTATAATGAGGCAATACACTAAGCATTGACTGACGATTTATTTCCCCCACAAACAGTTTGATTTTTTTCTGTTATTAATTTATTTTTTTACATAGAGACCATTTTACATAAATAGAATAAAAATAAGAAATTTTACATATTAATGAATGCTGTGTTTGCCTATAATTTGGACGTGCATTCAGTTTTGAGCATTTTGATAATCGCGTATAACCTAAAAAAGTTTTATTGTAACATAACTGCAGGTGAGCTTAAATAAATAAATAAAAAAAAAACTACTTCGCACATTCGGAAATTTCGAACGTAAAGTTTTCGGTCGCACGACAAATGCTGACATGGATAATGAATTTTGTAGATGCTCAGTATAAATCGTTGCGGGCTGACATCTCTGGATGGCGTTTGGGGTTTGGTGTCGCTCAGGGAGCTGCACGCGTCAGGGAATCGTATACGCGACCTTCAGCCACTAGCGGTGCTTCAGAAGCTGCATACGTTGGATCTGTCAAAGTAGGCATTAATAGTGCTCATGATCTGCATTACAACCGGTGACTTTTCGCCTTCTTATATTGTCTTTATTACTCTTTTTTTAAATGTTGTCCTAACTGTAGGGTGTAATTATACCTCTCGTTTTTCTTTTGGAAAGAGTTATCTTTTTATTTTATAAAGAACTGGTTGAATCATGGCAATAACTTTTGTTGTTTGAAGTTTCCGATCTAGTTTGAGGAACATGAACAGGAACAAATTTGGGACAATCCAATGGATTGGACAGGGAACAAATCCAATCGGAAGAGTGGATAAAATACTGTAAGGTCCGTTGCGGCATTTACCCACAGAGCAGATGTTCTTAAACTTATTACAGAGAAGTTCATAGTAGTTTCCTTGTAATCAGACCTATACTTTAATGCAATGTACATTTCACGGCTCTATTAGCGCAGTCGCTAAGTATTTGGGCGTCGGCTCTGTAGATCGTATGTTCGACAGCATGGAGAAATATATTTATGAATAATTATTTGTCCTTGTGGCTCGAATTCACGATCTTTCTAAAATATTTTTTAATGACGACCAAAAAACTAATATATCTTGATATAAAAACGATCATAATTCAATATCTCAAGCATTTCAAGGCATATTTTCGAATGTGTCCGTTGCATTTCCGTGACCATTTCGTGTAAAAGTGCATGATAATCATTTATTGACATCGTATATATTTAATCTACTTCTAAACATAACTTGAAAATTCCATTTGCAATTCAAAAGGCTATATAAACTATTCCCAATTGTAATTTACAAATCTTCAATAATGCTATGTTTAAAATTACGGGAACTAAAAAAAGAACTCATTTATCCTCGTATAGATTTCGTTGCAAAATGCCTTTAAACATTCAACGGCACATTGATCGATTTAAATTCGACTACACTCGAGATTCGCCTACACCACAATAGTAAAGTAAAGTAAAGTAACAGCCTATACATGTCCCACTGCTGGGCAAAGGCCTCCTCTATACAGAGGGTATCAGGGCATAGTCCACCACGCGGCCCCATTGCGGATTGGCGGACTTCACATATCTTCGAAATACATTTTTTTTGTTATGATTTGAAAATATGCAGGTTTCCTCACGATGTTTTCCTTCACCGCGGAGCACGTGATAATGCAGCACTTAAAGTTAAAAACTTCATTGGTGCCGGCACCGGGGATCGAACTCAGGTTGCTCGAGTATATATTGAATTAAAGGCGAGCGCCCGGACACTGAGCTATCACGGCTCAATCCCACATTGCTCGCATGAATTATGTATCTGTATTTAACGATCATAAACACATAAAAACATGAATTTACTTTTGTGCGTTTATGCTCCTTCCGCTTTTTGAAAACTAACCTCGATTTGAACCTCGATTTTGTTGTTTTCGCAAGCAACCCAATATCGGAGTCGAGCCGAATTTGGACGCTGGGCGTGTGCGGTGCACTGCGCCGTCTATTTTTGCGAGGGGCGCCGCTTTCGGAAGCGCCTGGTTATCGGTCCGTCGTCGCGTCCACTCTGCCCATGCTGCTTACTCTGGACGACCGGCCTACGCACGCGGACGCCGGCAGTACGTGCGCCACATCCATTGTTCGAGATTGTTCTTTCAAGAAGATTCATTTTTAGATAGTGCCGAATGAGCAGGTGATTCCGCCGCCTATAGGCAGTTGCGGTTGCAGTTCCACCAATTTTATTTGAGAGTGTACTCCGGTTATCTCGCTCAACAGAAGAAACGCCAAAGTGTAGATGCTCCTACTCTACGGGGTTTTTTTGTGTGGCCATGGCACTTCCCCGGACGGCTTGCCCAATTTGTGTGGTAACACCAGAACTGTGGTAAGGCCACGCAACAGTTTGCTGTTGCACGAATGGGCAGGTCCGCCCGGGGAAGTACCACGTCCCCACAGAAGACCGACGTGAATTGCAAGTGTTATACCTCTGCGTTTCGTCTCTACATTTAAATATATAAATGTTGAACATTGATTATATTATGCACGTGTACTATATAAATTATTTGTTTAATTAAAACGAAAGATTCCTGCGCAGAGCCTAGCAACTAAGTATTAGCCTATTTCATCCGTCCGTCTAAATCTGGACCATTTTGTAATATAAACATCAGTTCGATTAGCTAAACAGTCGGATTTGTACCATTTGGCGAGCTCTTTACGCCAACAATGATTTAGTATTGAAATTCTCCTTCTCTACAGTATTCCCAGCCAATCAATATGGTTTGACTTAAAAACTAAATGAATGTGCTGACTGCCAGATGATTTATCGTTCTACTAGTCTTAAAAAAAATTAACACAAATAATAAAATAAAGGACAGCCTGAATAAAGTTAAAAGACCGAAGTCAGTATTCACAAGAAATATGTCATAAAAAACGCCTTCTTAATTTAACTTAGCCTTTTCCTATTTCTCTTTTTTAAGGTTGGTTAGTGTATTTCTTTTTATCTGTATATATAACAATTTTCCATGCGGATAAGGCCATATAGATTTCATTATACATTATGCTGTCGGGGCATACTAAGAAAAATGATAAAAACTTTTTAGCGGACGACTATATCGCTGGTGACACATCCGATTCTGGAAGTGACTCGGCCAGCGAGCAGGAGTGCGATGTAAGCGTGCAAAAAAATTCTTCGATACCCACAGAGGGACCAATCGCTGGACGATCATCAAAAGCATTCCAGGTACATAGCCCCTCGCCGCTTTACCCAAACGGTAAGACTTTAAAGCCCCGATAGCTCAGTGGCGGGGCGCTCACTTTATATTTAGTAACTCGAGCAACCCGAGTTCAAATCCCGGTGCTGGCACAACTGAATTTGTTAATGAATACTTTAAGTGCTTACTTATATCGTGCTCGACGATGGGAATATCGTGAGAAAACCTACATATTTGCGAAGTAATAACAAATGAAAAATATTTCTAAGATATGTGAAGTCTGTCAATCCGCAGTGGGGTCGTATCAGGACTACGCTCTAATACTCTCTGTACAAAGGAGGCCCATGCCCAGCGCCGGGGCATATGTAGGCTGTTACTTCACTGCGTTTTTACTACAATGCGTTTTTCGTGTACGAATTTTTATTATATTCGCGTGTACTAAGATACAAAAAAGTACCTTTTAATAGTTTTCAGTGTAAAATTCTTTGTCGGTAGTTCGTTAACATTCAAAATAAATACACGCGAAAAATAAAACAATAAATTTTCACGTTCTTGTGAAACTATTATTTTAATTAAGTTTACCGTTTGCCAATAGATATAACATCACTACATAGTATAAAACAAAGTCGTGTCACTTCTGTCTGGCCCTATGTATGCTTAGAACTTTAAAACTACGCAACGGATCTTGATGCTGTTTTTTACTAGATAGAGCGATTCAAGAGGAAGGTTTATATGTATAATACATTGCACCCGTGCGAAGCCAGAGTGGGTCGCTAGTAATGGATATACCATGAAAATTTCAAATCTCAAGATAATAGACACTCCAAGAGAGACTAAGGGACGAAAACTTTCGGCGCCGCAGATTCGAACCTAGTTTATATTAATTTCTTGTATTTACGCAATTACACATTACTAAATGAAACCATTTTAGGGATTTATCGCGTTTGTTTTTAGTTGTATTTCCCGACGTATTCAACCCTTTTCAGAGTTCATACATTCATTCAAACAGACCGTCTGTCGCGTGTACATGAACGCGGCTTCGGGAAACCAACGTCGAACTAAAAAAACTTAGGGAAATAAAACTAAAAATAAAGGAGATAAATCCGTAAACAAAGTTTTATTTACAACTTTATATTGATTATCTGCAAACTAATCATCTCAACTCTGGCTGAGTTCAGTTCGCGGATCTTCTGTGGAGTTCAACGACGAACTTAATTAAAAAAAGCTTGAAGGATTTCTTGCGTGCGTAAAAACAGTATCTCGTCTATTTTTCTGATAAACAGGAACGAGGCTTACCACTTTTCGTTATAATACTAAATAATATTGGTTCGCTATTTCTGTCCACCCTGTTAGTATCAAAATGTATGTTCAACCAAGCTTTTTATTTCAATTTGTTTATATGTTTCTTTTTAAAACATTGCCCTTATTGTGGTATAAAATTATCCTGTGTTGTAAGGACTTTTTACAAATATAAATTTCCTGTGGATAAACACTCAAATCCGAAACAATTATCTGTGGGTCATACAAAAAGTTGTCGAGTGTAAGAATCGTACCACGGAGCCCAAGCTTATACCTAGCCGCTTGACACGAAGTCATCGATATACGATGGTACGATCAATTGAATATACGATATCTTTTTTAAGGGTCATAGCTTCGAGCCCCTATTTTCTATAATTCACATGGGAAATGGGGTTTAAAAATCCTAAACATCTGATACCTCACGACTGCCTAACATCTCGGTCTAATCCAATCCTTAGGCGTTTCGAAATCGTTCTCGTTGTCAGGAGTCGCAGGAGACCTCCTGTTGCGCAGTAGAACAGCCTTTTGCTAGGGCGTCCTTTATACGGAGGCGCCCGGCGACAACGGAGAACGGTGGTATACGACCGTCCAAAGCGACGGTGCCGCGACGGCCGCGCACCGCAGCCGACCGTCCCACCATCGACGCACCAACCAGGCTGCAGATAATGAACACACTCATGGGTAAGTGTTTGAAATTTTTCAGAGTTTTGTAGAGCAGGTGCCGGTCGAATATACATGCCGCAGAATAAAGAGGTTTTCTTGAGTGAAGACCGCTAAGAAGGGCTTCAACATTTGGCCGCTTAGTATTAGGATGAGGCGACAAACGAGCGAGATTTTTAGAAGCGTCGTGCTCCACTTTCGACACCTGATTATTTAAAAAAAATAAAGATCTCACAAAACGAACGAACGAACTGAGTACCCGGAACACGCAGGCTTGATTCCCGCGGCAGGCTTGATGCTGAGGGCTTTTGTCAATTATTTATCTACAAAATTCTCATTTTAAGACAGAGAACCATTCCAACCATCGGTGGTAAAAACAGGAAATAACCAACCCTATCTAAACGCTAACATTTACGGACGTCGCCTACTTAATACCCTTAACGATTCGGTCGAGAAATAAGACATAAATGCCGTTATCCACCGGGGATCCCAATCGACGAAACTATACACACAAATGTCGTTGTATTGTACAACACATAATTATTACTTCCGGGTAAGGGTGGCCATTACGAGTACAGCAAAATCAACCTGTCACGTATTCTGGATATACTCTCACACTCCAGGATAATTGTCACCACTTCCAGCCACCGTTTAAATACAGTCGGTGGCTGTAAGGGTCACAGTGCACGTACCGGACTCCGGGACCCATGGCCGCCGTGTATGTTGTGTGTGAGCTTAGGGTCCATCAAGGTCATGGGAACTAGTTTTTTCCACGGTTTCCGTATTCCGATAGGGCTTTATAGTCTCCGACTATAAAGCCCTATCGGAATACGAATTGAAAGCGTAACTTTTGTTACTATAATAATTTTTTCGAAGTCTACGCAGTTTCTAGATATCGAAGTTACTGGCATTTGGATTTGACTCAATAATTTTTACTGGTTTTTGATAGGGTCAAGCGCGCAGGCGGTTTTACCTCATGTTAAGTGATAATGATTCGTAGGGTTGCAGTCTGTCGCCATCTTTTAATAAAGTGTGCCTGGCTACCTCACTCATCAGACGAAAAGCAGAAGTATAACACTTCCACTTCACACTGGTCTTCTGTGAGGTCTTGGTACTTACCCGGACGGGCTTAAATGTGGTGGTTAGTGGTACACTAAACTCAATGTATTTTTTTTTTTTATGCGAAAAGTTGTCAAAAGAAATGTGCGAAAAGGAACAATTGAAAACATTCTATGTATACCTGTGGCGTCAGACGCCGAATGGCGATGTAGCGGCAGCAATTTGACTTCCAAAGGCGCGGTGTGTGGAAATTTGGCGCGTGCGTTACGTCGGTCGACCCTTCCCGCCCCAACTGGCGCAGGTAAATATTTACTTCCGGCATTAAAGCCGACAAGACGGCGATGCCGCAATATGCGTTATGTGCGATGTGTTACCTAATGAACAATTGAATAGTAGAAAAGTATAGTGTTACTTGTTTCCAGTACCCGCTTAGGAAGAAGTATTAAATAAAAATAATTGGTAATTAATTCTTTAGTAGGTTTTTACAAAAGATGTGGTAAATATGCAAGAGATTCTGCGACAGTTTTACCTTGTAAATTGTATTACACGCGACATCTGACGACAAGACGGCGATGCCGCAATATGCGTTATGTGCAGGTTTACTTTGAACAACTTATAGTGAGTCCGGTTTCTAAGACACTGTTACCGGTTTCTGAAACCGCTGATAGGTAGAAGTTTAACTAATCAAAATCAAATGGATTTTCAAATAGTAGGTTTTTTTACCAAAAGGATGGGTAAATTCTTTGAATGGTCATCAATGATACCTTGTAATTTATAAACCGCGACATCTAATGCCATTTGACAGATAGGTTGCAGGTTCTTTACAGACTTATCACGTGTTTCAGTAACCACTGACGTGTTTCTCTGTAAACACAGACATCGATGGTTAACTAATCAGTTGTCAAATGGATTTTCAAATGTCCATCATTCATGATCCATCCGTGCAGCAACAAAAGCTATTTGGATTTACCACGTTAAAATTAGAAAACAGTACTTATATATATTTTTTGGCAATAATATAGCTTTTCCATAATAAACATAAAAATCTTAGTACTTTACATGAAAACGCTTAACAATACCAGGATTAAAACCTTTAACTGCTAGCAATTGCTTTAACTACAATTCATTGTTTTTATATTTTGTAATATGACTGACATTATAAATTTATAAAGAAAAATAAAAAAAGATGTAACAAGATGCCTTGACATGATAACATCATCGCCTTTTGACTGCCTATTAAGGCAGAAACCTTCATTAAAAACTCAAGGAAAGCTTTACTTGTATAATTCGAAAGTTATCATGGCATAAAAGCAGTTATATTTAAAAATAAAAGCAATTATATACTTTTGTGCTTTATGTACCAACAATATTTTTAAAGCATCGATTTTTGATTTTTTTTCTCTTGTTTGTACTACTCTTGTTTGTACTCTTGTTTGTACTAGAGTATACTTAAAAATTGAACAATTGACAGAGAAACAAATGGAGACTGTAGAGTGTGCGGTCGAAGAGGCATGTCGCACGGTAGCCGAAGAAATTCCCCGAGCACCGTGCCAAGAAGACTGGGTCCGGTTCAGAGAAGAGACCGGGTATGAGTGATGTGATGAACTCGATACCAGCGGTTTAAACGCCAGGGGTAACCAACAAATCGGTCGTGAAGCAAATTTTGGCCAAACTCGATTTTCTCTTATATTTCATGATATTGATCTTAAATTACATGACAAACAGTACAGAATATATTTAGGACCATATATATAGCATAGCATCGCATATATTACCATTTTAATATCCATGGTTTGGCTACATATATGGAAAGATGACGCAGGTTTTTTTTTTTAGAAAAACGTTGGCTACCCCTGCCGTACGTCATGAATAGAAAGTTGTTGTATCAATCCTTTTATGTAAACGAACAGATATCTAAAGGTCATTTGCTCTTTTGTTGAAATTTCTTAGTGTAATATTTTGTTTCCATTGTATAAGTTAGGTTAGATTATTAAATTGTATTGAATAGTTAAGCTGATTAGTGTCGTGCACAAGAATAGTATCTGTATTCGCTAATTTTACAGATAGTGTGTAAATAAGTGAATGTGAAATGGTTAAAGTTAGTCAACTATTCGGTATTGTATTACATTGAAAGTATTTTTATAAGTTTTTGAGACATGTTGAAATGTTTTGAGTTAAATATAATTGTTTTATTCTTGTTTGTCCTTAAATATTTAGCTTTTTATTTTTAGGGGCAGTAGTCGTTTTAAAACAAAAATTAATATTGCCATTGCAATTTTTGTCGTATGTTAGCTAGGTTTAAAGTAAGCTAAGAAGAGTCACTAAAAACTACTGTTTTCGAACTCGTGTTGGCATTTCTTTAAAATGTTTTTGGACAGTGTTTCACGATTTGCTTCGTATATTTGTTATTCGTTGAGAATTGAGATGCATTTACTTTTGGTAGTAATTTACAAATGTACCCTGTTATGGTAGAGTCATTAAATATAATGTTATTTCTTTTATAGTTGTAAAATCTCTGTTGTAAAAGTACATGGTTATGTTTGCAGAATCGATATCGATATAAATTTCAATGAAAGACCTCGAAGCATGGACCCGTCGGAAGCTCTGGATCGTTTAGAACGTATAGAGCAAGAGACATCTGAACGCTTAAAAATGGCATCAAGAGGCAAACATTTTAATATGTATAATGCAAGAGGTGTTGGTTTCAATGACAATCTGTTCTATAGAGAAAATGGGACATCGTCAATAGGTTTTAATGGACAAAGCAATGTTGAATCCGTTTTAACTGGTACTGGCGATATAAACTTTTTAGATACAACGTTTGAAGGGAGTTTTATTTAGTTTTTTTTGCGGGATACCGTTCTATTAATGTTTGCTTTTTTTAAACTATGGCAAAATTTCGCATAAAAATAAAAGAGAAAAACATATTTGGTTATTTTACTAGTCAATGCTTGGCAAGGGAGTAGCGAGTGTTATAAGATTGTTTCTAGCTCCAAGTCAGTGTGGTGGAATTTTGCTTCCCAAACAATACAAAGATAGAGAAAAATATATTAACTGTTATTGTTGAAATGAGACTTTTTGTTATATACAATGTTTATAGATCTTATTCCTAAAATACCTTTAAAATGGTACTTTAAAAAAAAACATTGATTATTTGAAATTTTACAAAGGTTTGAATAAATTGAATGAACCACAATTTTGTTGTTGTTTGATTTTAAATTTTTAGTTAGTTCCAGCAATACGTAAATTTTGTCGTGTCTGTACAGTTCGTGCGCATTAAAATACGTACCTACCCGTAATATATTTTCATGGTTATCATGATCCAATATAAGAAAACTGTAGCTTAACTTTACTTGTTCAGATTAACAACGTAGTCAAGGGCATGAATATTTAACGATTTCACCTTTTTTTATAAATTAACTTTATATTATAAATATGTCGTTTAAACGCCAGTCCTACCTACTGTAGTTTTTTTATAGTGAGCAAAAAACTTAGATGTGATTTTAATTTTTTTTTGTAAGAAAAAGTACGTAAGTTCAAAGACAACGTATGTTCTTCATTCCCTAAGAGACGTGCAATCTGGCTTGATTTTTGGGGTTTTCCTTACTCCCTTCAATGCATTATACAACAAATAATTCAAAGGACAACAAGAATTTATAGCGGTGGTAATGGGGCCAGTAGTGCCAGATGAAAGGGTATTCGTGAAATGTATTTGTTTAATGTGAGAAATTGGTAAGCCCCAGAATGTTTAGTGCCTAGTGCTGCCCTTCTGGACATTTACAACTCCTTCGAGGTAACCATTTTTAAGTAGGCTCTCACTAACTACATAAAATGCAAAAGTATAACACTTTCTGCTTCACGTCGGTCTTCTGTGAGGCCGTCTGGGCCAGATTTTGAGGTCAGGAGGCCTCGGCTACAAATGAATGGAGGCCCCTTGGCCCCAAATTGTTTTCTATTTATTTCTGTTAATATTTAATGTCATTTTTTCACAAAGTACTGTAGTTAAAAGCAAAACGTGAAAAAAATACGAAAGGAAAAGTTGTTTACAATTGTTTTTCAGTCTGAATTAGAATTTTTTTAACGAAATCTCTATTGTGGGGGCCCCTCGTTTGTGGAGGCCCCGGTGCTGTTGCCCCGGTTGCCCTCCCCTAAATCCGGCCCTGAAGGCCGTGGTCTTGTCCCGACGAGCCTGTCCGTTCGAGTATCCGCAGAAGCTGCCTGGTGGCCCTAAAACAGTGAAAAAGTTAATAGTAATTGTAGATAGTAATTATTGTATATATAAAAATATAAAAATAGATTTTTTTGTGTTAAAAGTTGGCAATCGAGGTCACCTGTTTTTAAATAGCACCGCCGCCCATGTTGCACGAATACATGCACGTGGTACGGAAACACTACAAATTGTAATTAGGAATTTCATTGGTACCGGTATCTCTAAAAATGGGAACAAAAGCGTATTATGATTACAGTGTGAAAAAAGACCTAGAAATATGAAAAAACTGAAATCGTGATAATTTTAAACGATGGATTTTATATAACATATAAATTATTTCTAGAAGAAACGGAACGCATTCTAAAATCGTTTAACAGGTTGACAGGTAAAGTTTGTATGAGAAAATAAAATTGTTCCTATTTCGATTTTCCATGCAATTTTTCCATAATTTCTCATCCCAAAATTAATTCAAACCCAAAATTAGCTAAATCGGTCCAGCCGTTCTCGAGTTTTAGCGAGACTAACGAACAGCAATACATTTTTATATATAAGACTAGCTGACTCGGCCAACGTTGTTTTGCCATATAAATTATTTCTAGGGAAATTGGAAGTGTTTGACAGACATAGTTGACAGGTTGACAGGTACAGTTTGTATGGGAAGATAAAATTGTTGTTATTTCGATTTTTTATGCAATTTTTCCATAATTTCTCATCGTTTAAACCTTCCCTGGACTGCCACAAATATTTCAAAACCAAAATTAGCCAAATCGGTCCAGCCGTTCTCGAGTTTTAGCGAGACTAACGAACAGCAATCCATTTTTATATATAAGAAGATATAAAATATAAATATAAAGAAGCAAAGAGAATGTAATCACTACGTTTAAAGAAGATTACGTAGATATGCTTCGTGAATGAACTCCATTACTATTAAAATTATATTTAAAGCATGAATCGTAAAAGGGTCAAAAACAATTCGGAAAGTTAAATCTTTAACATTTAATGATAATTCACAAACGGCAATGTGCCCGTTGACATTACACTTTGATTCAAATCAGTTGCTGAAACTGTTTGATACGTCAAGTTCACGATCTCTATAACTGTTAGTAATTCCCGTTGTATGCTTGGTTGCAATACGTCCTCGGCTACTCGTGGTTTTAGAGTTTTGGAGTTTGACGGGCCATTTGAAACGAACGCGAGGTGGGTGTAGGACGTTTAGTTGTGCTTGTTAGTTCGTTTCGCGACGCTGTTTGATCTGCAGGCATTATTACAGTGATGTCTTTCACTACATATGTTCAACGACTTGTTCTATCGAACGTTCTTACTTTGTATTATGGCTTTGTGATGTTGATTTCCTTCGCTATTGCATATGTGAAGAATCCTTTTAAAAATCCATGGGAGTTAAAGTTGCGTTTGGTGCCACCGGCGAGTTTAACAGACCCAAAATACGGTGTTCATAAATATGTGAAGGCTAATGTAAGTATATTTAAATAATATTGTTTCTCAGTTTCAAATGTGTAATTTAAACCCAAAAATGTATATTTTTCAAGGGAAATTTTTCTGATATCCCTTTCATAGATAGAAAGTTTTGAAACACTACACATTATTCAATAAAATTATTTTTAGAATCAGGGTGCTACGCGAATGCTACAAAGTATTTTAAACGTCGGGAATTTAGTTTAATTAAATGTCATAAAATCCTTAATAATGTTCACTCACGTAAATCTAACTGACCTGGTCAACTCTGATAGTCAGACTTGTCTTCTGGAACCTATTCGCTTTGATATGATCTCGAGCATTATCACCTAATAGATGACAAAGATTATGGACATATACCTAATAGGTGACTATTAGTCATACTTACCATAAAGAGCAATTCAAGGTCTAGGTCTTACTGTAACAAGGTATCCACAAAAGCGGAAAAAAAAATTATTAAATGTATATTCTGAATATTTTTTATTAAATGTATTATTATTCGTTTTTTATATTTATTTTTCCATAGTGTGTGCAATAAATTATATTCAATTATTCATTCTAATATTCTAGTACTAGAGAAACGCATGATGTTATCGATATAATGAAGCATTTTCGATCTTATTAAAAGACTTTAAGAATTTTTATTGAATACCATATGCCATCCTCTTATCCCATCTAATAAGAGGCACTAAGCAATAATAATACCTCATGGTCTAGTTGCCTGATTGCCGTCGAACGATCCAAGGTCACGGGTTCTAAAACTCGTGGCTCGCAATGTACCGAGTTAAGGAAATTGCATACAAAAATCTTGGTGTATTATATACTTACTACATCAACAAAAATAAAAAAAGATATACAAAGTTGGCGAAAAAAATTCACTGTATTGGATGTAATAAATGCACAATGCATGCAAATATATTTTTCATTTGATTGTCGTTTCAAATGGCTTCTCGTGTTTATCGCCTAATGTTTTTTAATCAGAAATCGTGTTTCAATGCACATTTCCATTGAACAATTTTTTGTACCACATGACGTTAGTTAGTTTTCTAACGTCAAGAGCATTAATATTTTTAGTTTTCTACTAATACTCGTAAATACACGTTTAATGGAATATTTGGAGAACCTCACTTCGAGTGGAATTTTCTTGTTACTAAATATAAAATGATTTTAAAATTTCATGTACTTACAGAAAAAAAATTAACTGCGATTGTGACTATTTTATGGAATGAACCGTTTGAATTGATTCAAAAAAATTACTAAAATTAAAATTACCCATTCCGACTCACAATTTTTTATGTGAGAAGATGGAAAACGATCTGGTGGTTCACCTGATGTTAAGTGATTACCGCCGCCCCTGGACACTTTCAACTCCCATAGGGTTTGATTTGCCACCTTTTAATAAAGTGGGCCCCGGCTACCTCACTCACCACGCAGAAATATAACACACTTCACGCCGGCCTTCTTTGAGGTCAATTACTTGGATTTAATTACAATATACATACAATTTATTAATGGACATGCCATTCGTGCCACAGCGAAGACTGTTGCGTGGCCGTTAGATGCGCGTTAAATGATCAATACCAGTTTAAGCCGAGCAATGATTTGAGACGAACTGGATATAGTTTCCGTCCGTGATTTTGTTTTTTTGACGTTATTTGAGGTCTATTCATTTGGATATTCCTTAAAAACTACAGTATAGTATAAGGATTGATGATATTTGATATTATGTTTATATTTATGTATAAGATTTATAAATTTATTTTTAATTGTTTTCTGTGCAAACCAAGGAATACAAAAGGCGTCCTTAATGCTAGTGGACAGACCCAACCAGACATCCTATTGTTAGTTCGATTTTATGGCCGGTGCAACAAGCATATGAATGAAGACATAACTAGTAACATAAATAACTTATACATTTAAACATAGTATAGAAATATATTTATAGACCATAAGTACATAGTGTATGTGTAACATATTGTTATTGGAATAAATAAAACAGGATGTATTTTACAGAATATCAAGATACATTACGTGGAAAGCGGAGACTCCACGAAGCCTTTGATGCTGTTTCTGCATGGCTATCCGGAGTTTTGGTATTCATGGCGACACCAAATTGTCGAATTCAATAAAGATTACTGGTAAGCATGATAAATTGATAGTTAAAAATAAGCATCAAATAACAATCAAACATATAAACTAGATAATGACGTGAGATATCAGTCTATTGATACAAGTCTAACGTATTCCTATCACATCATTATTTGATACTTTTATCTGACGTCTGTAGATGTTATCTGTAGATAATATGCTTAGTTACTGATTCTTAATTATTCAGACCACGGAATGGTTATTTTCCTTCATGTCGTACAAAGTGATTAATTTGATCCTAATTAAAATACGTGAAAAGACAGTTACTAGTAATTGATTAATTTAGAACATGCCACCGCGGTGTTTGTTGTGGATCTAGTTGCTGTCCTTATGTAATTTGTCTTAACAACAAAGGAAAATGTGGTACTGCAGTTATTACAAATATGTAGTGTTATAGGAATATGTTACCCTTAAAGATGTAATGTAATTTTACTCTTGTTTCTGACTTTCTTTATGTGAAAAATAAACAAGTTTTCCAATTTACTAGGATTGCCAAATGCACTTGCATTGTCTTGTATACGTTGGGAACTTGAAGATAATGTCAAACTCCTATAAAGTCGACGCAAAACAAGCGAATTAAAAAAACACGGTACACTTGTATACAGGGAGGCTTTTCTAAGTGTATCCATTTTTTAATAAAATTCTAGACATAAAAAATGTTATATAAAAAATTATAAATATTTAAAATCACTCGTAATTAATTAATTACATTTATTTGAACTAATCTCAAAAAGTGCGTAATTTATGATTATTTTACGTGCGATCATTCATAACTAACACGCACACAATTCATTTCAAAAGTATATGACGCAATTATGAATGATTACTGCTATGTATATTGTCAACAAGTTCTGTTTTTTTAGGGAACATAATGCAATTTTTTTGGAAAAAAATTTGTTTATATATCAATAAACGATTATACTACCGAATTTGAACCTCCTGTGTGAATTTGGACACCTTTAAAAAAGCCAACCTGTGTAGTGGTATGTTTAAACTTTGTTCGCTATGTTCAAATTATGAGAATCGACATTATTACTCGCCTATGAAAGGCGAGGTAATAATGTCACGTGTAATGAGGATAAAATCTTTGATGGCTCCGTAGGCGTAGTTAATAAACATCATTAAAGCTCAATCCGTGTGTTTTGCGTCGATTCCATTGCGTAGTCATGTCCTACGAGACAAGTATAATATAACGTGATAGACGTAGATAACGTGTTTTGAATTAGGATGTCCGTACTATTCAGAATAAACCTACAGTAGGGTGTCGTAAGTGAGGTAGCCTAGGTTTGATGTTTGATAACGCAACTATCAGTTTAAACACCAACTCGATATGTCTCGTATTATATCCTATTTCATAGGTAGAATTTTTGTATTTGCCGAAAAATGTGATGGTTTAGGCACGTTTAAAAAATGTTTTAATATAATTTTTTTTGTTTAAAACCGAGTAGTGAAACAAAAAAATAGATAGTTTCAAGAAATTAAAGATGTCATACGAGCTTCAAAAATAGCTGTTAACATAAAAATTGCATAAACAAAGGCTCGAGAAATATGTTACAGGTGCGTGGCTATGGACATGCGCGGGTACGGCGATTCAGAAAGGCCCGATGGAGTTTCCTCGTATAAAATTAACGTTTTGATCGAGGATGTTCGCGATTTTCTTAAAGAATTGGGTAAGTGTCACGGACAGGGCGCTTAAAAACTTTTAGAAAGTGCCTAGTCACCACTAACCTGCTATATAGCATTAATTAGGTATTCTATCGCACGTCACGGTTAGTTAACAAAAAGAAAATGTTCTAATTTTTGCAATATATAAATATGAAACACATTACCGTCATGATAGTTAAGCAATTTAAAAACTTTCTTTTCGGATGCTTTGTCTTTTAATGTATTTAATAAATATTGCTAATGTAAAATAAGAATAAGTATTATAAGGGCCTTTATATTTGTAACCGAATAAAAATATGCAACTGGCGAAACTTACGCCCGGTTAACAGATGATTAGTTAACTTCTACGCTGATCAGTGTTTCAGAAACCATCAGTCAGTCTCTTAAAACAGAATAGTTTTTAATTTATTCTGATTCCATTTTTATTCTAATTCTATTTTAACCCTTGTTGTTTTGTGTTTCTTCTATGGAAGATATTGTTAAAAGCGCGAATTAATTTCAGTCGTAAATAACTACACTTATATATTTCATGAGTATAGATGATATATTTATAGATGTATAGAAGCAGAAGATAATTGATATATTTTAGGCCTTATAACAGTATCTTAAGGCAAACACGGCATTTACAAACCATTACAGCTGAATGCGCAAGTTATGTAGGTAGATACAGAAAAAGAAATACACGCAAAACATTGCGAAATTCACCTGTATTTCTCACTTACGCGTCGATATGAGGTCAATAACCTATTAATTATATACGAAGAACCCTATTAAGGTGAAAATTGAATGTAAATGTAATTACATATAAGTAAAACAACAGATAAGAAAACACTATTATACAACAACACATGTTTTATTTATTGTATTATTCGTTTCGGATGAATAACAATTTTTTATCTTATCATATTTTATTGTTATTTGTGTACGTCTTAAAATAAATACTTATTTGAGTGTTAGCTCTCAACGCATTTACACATCCTGCGATAGATTTGAGAACAGGATTCTGATATAGAACTTCAAAAACATGATTAAAACGCGCATAATTAAGTAATGTAAAGTTAAAAGTTATGTAAAGATATTATTCGCGCTTGAATGTAGGTTTGCATTGCAACGGTTGCGAGACATACTTGGTAAATAATATTTCAAACATCAATAGCCAAGCGCAATAATATCTATATATTTTAAATATTTAGGACCCATTTTTACACAACGTTCTCTAGTCTCAAACTAAGCAACGCTTGTACTAGAAAACGTACTTTAACATACTTTTATTTTGTAAATAAATACATATTATACATGTATAAAAACGTAAACACGAGGAAAAGTTTTCAATAGTGGGGATCCATCGAACAAATCGAATCGAACGGAGGCAATCGAACCCACACCCTTAGGCGAAAGAGGCAGTAATATCAGGCGAAGGCTGGAATACTGGCATAGGCGTAAACTTCCACAGTTTATTTACACGTTTTAAGTTTCATCGTAATTGCAGAGACGCACTAAAAATAAAAACATAGTTTTAATAAGTGTATCGAAATCTAAGATTTTAATAGATTCAGCTTTTTAAGGGCGAGAAAAATGTATCCTAGTGGCACACGATTGGGGTGGATTGGTGGCGAGTAAACTCCGCGACCAGCACTCTGATGTCGTGCAAGCTTTGATTATGCTGGGAAGCGCCTCAGGAGAGGCCTTGTTTCAAGAAATTTGGAACAGTCCAAAACAACGAAAAACATCTTGGTTCGTTCTTTTGTCTAATTTCTATTATAAGAATCGTTAAATAAATATATTACATGTGAAAATGTTAAATTATGTAATTTATGTCCAAAATATATATATTGTATAATATATTTGTAGAAGTAAGGCCTATCTTTCCGGAATACAAGTACGAATTTCAGATGTTGTTATAAAGTTTCCATTATCCTGCCATCTACTTTTCACCATGATATGGGTTGGCCGGCAGAGAATGCTCATTAGGCATTGAGTCCGCCCATTTTTGCCCTTAGCTTATGGTGTAGCAATGAAGTTTAAATAAATAAACAAATGATTTTTTTAAGTATGGTAGGCAACATAACCTACATGGGGTTTCAGATTCTTTGCCAACCATTAAAACAGTGGGTTTCATTTAATTCACTTCGGTCTAAACGCAAAGGTATTAAAATTTCGATAATAATAATATGCATAATCTTATTATTATATTTATATTATTATTTATATTTTCGTATGCTAAATTTACATTTGGCTGATAAACGACATTTGATAAAAGTGGACACAGTAACTGACGATCTTTGCCCTTTTGATGTCATTGTCAGCATAAAGTCGTTCGAGACAATATATGTTTTTTAAATCAGTTGGGTAAAATAAACATTTTGTTATTTATTGGAAGTAAACAAACGGGTCGGCGAGAACTTTAACAACTACGTTTAAATAACTCCAGAACTGTTTGCAACAAATTTTCATTAATGCATTGCGTCTGGCGAACGCTGACGTCAGACATGCTTGTAGAATTAGAAAACTTTGGGTTCAATTGATCATGATTTTTTATGTACAATGTCTATAGTTATCCGTATAAAAACCTGGAGCAGAAATGGTTTTGGCACCTCATTTAACTGAATTGCAACGTCGCGTTTGAAATAGACGGTGAAAGAGTAATCATTAAAATGACAAATCTTATTTATTAATTTTAATGCGATAAAACTTACTGGTTATGTATTACTTTGTTATTGCCTTAATATTAGTATATATTTTATATGAAGAAGAAGAAGAACCGTATATGTCTTACTTAGTAATAGTAAACAATTTTATTTCAGGTATATATTTTTCTACCGCATGCCGATGTTACCTGAGCTATTGATGCAAATGAATAACTTAGAGATTCTTGATAAAATTTTCAAAGGGCAAGAAGAAAACTGTATCAACGAGAACGACATCGAGTGCTACAAATACTGGTTTGGGAAACAATGTAAGTCAAAAAAATTGACAATGAGGTTTTTGAATGGACAATGATTTCTTCATCTTATCCTTTAAACGAGCAATTCTTATAAATAATCGGAATCTCGGAAACGGCTTCAACGATTTTCATGAAATTTAGCATGTGCGTAGATTCGGGGGCGAAAAATCGATCTAGCTAGGTTTCATTTTTATAAAATGTCCTTGTATCCCTGTTTTCAGGGAATGAAAAATATTATTCGAATATGACGGTAAATTTCGCCGCAAGAATAATAAAATGTTATAATAGCTCGGTCGGTAATCGGGCGGCCCCAAAACAGACGGCCGCGGTTCGTATCACGATCATTTATGCACTTATTTTTTTTTACTTTTTTTCTATACCAGGTCATTGCTTTCTTTATTTTTTTTTTATTTCCAATATACATGATTTATAAAAAAAAAACTCCAGGTACTAGGTACCAGGTACAGGTCCTCCAGGTACTAACAACTTTAATAGCATACTCCCGGATGACTCAGTGGCGCATTTGCATTGGTTTCCCCACCGGGGGTGTTGGTTTGATTCAACACGGAACAAGTATTTTGTGTGACCCACGGATGTTCTTATAATTGTTATAATTGTTCCGGATCTGGGTGCTTGTTCCCAAGAACGAAAGGCAGGCGGCCGGTCGTACAAAACCTAGCTAACGCAGTTAAGAAAATGAACTGTGTGAGTAAACTTTGGTATTATAGTAGTATGGTTAATATATCATTTTCTAATTCGAGTGCCATTAATAAGACCTCCGAAGAGGTCCAAGATATCATTAAAAATTTCAAACCCAAATCCGCTCCAGGCCCAGATAAAATTATTAATAAACTCTAGAGATTATTGGAGAATAGAAGTAAATCCCGAAAAGGGTGTGGCGAATCACTTCACACGAAGTACTTACCCGTCACATCTTTATAAAGGCCCTCGCCAATGCAGAAAGTTGGGGCAAATATCCCTTTATGGCCACTGCCCCCTGGGAGAAAAAGGTCAAATACTTAGGAGTCACTTTCGACTCGCGTATGACGTTTACTACGCATATATAACATAACGTTCGTAATAGAGCCGCGTCGTCTCTGGCCGGCTATACAATTTAACCGACGCTAAAAGAAAATGCCCTAAAGGTACCAATTTTTATTATATGAGACCTGCGCATGCATGACAGTCGCCCACAAACACCCTACTCGCTTGCAAATGATGCAAATCATTCAAAATAAGTTAAACGCACTGTCGTTGTCGACGATTCGCGAACATTTTAAAGATCTCATCAAACGGTTCTTCGAGAGAGCCGAACATCATCCCAACCCTCTGGTGGTAAGCCCAGCAAATTACCACATTATCGCGAACGTCAACAAGTATCGCCCACACAACGTCCTCATCGACCCGGTTGAAGACGGGGACTTAAGTACGTCGGACCCACCGTCGGAGATCCCGCCAAATAACACTACACACGCAGTTAGTGCATCAACAAACACCATAGTTTTTCTTGGCCTTCTAGCACGGGGAAACCAAAACCCGCCTTCCAGGGCTGTTCTCACCGCCCCCAGCTACCGACTAAACAAGCACAGTCAACAGCCATCGGGTTCACGGTCCACACCGAACCTCGATGGCCCGTCATAAATAACGCATGCATGAGTACATGCGCGATCTTCACACCTATGGGTTCGGGCTAGCCCACCAGTTCTGCGTTCGATGAAGGCTTAATAGTCTAAGGACTGAAAGCGTAACATCAGTTAAACAAAAACAAAAAAACGATTAAGAAACATAAAAAGTTACCTGGCATTAGTAGAATATGGGTATGAAGAAATTTTATTTTTTATTAATTTTTTTTGTAAATTAAAAATGATCTGGGTATGTAATTATATTGTTCTCACAGTATAATTTCATGTTAAAATTAAAGAAAAGTATAAAAGCTTTCATTGCATTTATTAAATTATATGTAAATTTGTACTACTATGATTGAGAAAATTAAGACAAAAATACAGTGAAAAAGCACTGTTTTTTATAAATGATGAATAGGTAATTCTAATTTTAGTTCATCAACATCAGTAGGTTATTATTAAATCAATGTCTCTACTAACATCCAGTTATGATCGGCTCTAACAGATAACTAATTTGACAATATGTTCATAGACACGGCATAGCTCGGTGATACGACAATATACATAACTCTACATAACTCTTAAAATATATTTATTCGATTTAGTATATATTTATGTATATAACTAGCGGCCCGCCCCGGCTTCGCACGGGTATTTAACGAAATTTATAAAACATAAAAATTATCATACACACACATAAAACCTTCCGAATATTTCGTTTTTGGGGAATAATTTCATCAATTTCTTCATGTTTTAATGGAATACCCTTGAAATTACGTCACGTAAAAGTGACAAATAGGTCTGGTCCCCCATAGCTTCGGATATAAAACACCGCATCTTTGGTTTTTTTTGTTGACCGATGTCTGATGATCCGATGTTTGATGATGTTTGATGTAAAATATAAGTGTTATACTTCTACATTTCGTCTGGTGAGAGAGGTAGCTGGGGCCCACTTTATTTAAAGATGGCAACTCATTTGCAACCCTACAGGTGTTACAAATGTCCATGGGCGGCGGTTATTACTTAGCATCAGGTGAACCGCCAGCTCGTTTGCCACTCTATCACATTAAAAAAAATCATGTTTTAATATCTTTATTCAATATGGAAGTATAGGAGTATTACACTTACATATTGTCAAAAACACTACTACTGTCAACATTATCTATAAAAACGGCAAAAAAATCATGTCTGTTTTATGGGAGCCCCACTTATTTATATTTTTTTGTTTTTTGGTATTTTTGTTATAGCGGCAACAGAAATTCATCGTTTGTGAAAATTTCAACTGTCTAACTATCACGATTCATGAGATACAGTCTGTTGACATATGGACAGACATACGGCCATACAGACGGACAGCGGAGTCCTAGTAATAGGGTGCCGTTTTACCCTTTGGGTACGTAACCCTAATAAGTCCCAGTAATAATGCAATGGCTTAAAACAGGTAGCTCTAACCATCAACCTAAATGCATACAATTGCATGCATGTCACAGTTTTGTTACGCACAGTACCTTGCTGAGGAATAGTCAAATATTAACCGTCTTCTCCTATTACGACTATTAAGGAATATTTTTATGGATCATACAATCGGTAACTCAGAGACCCTTTAAGTTGGCCGTGTCTACCGTGCAACACTATATCTCTGGGGCCTTTTTAGGATGCCGTACCCAAAGGGTAAAACGGGACCCTATTACTAAGACTCCGCTGTCTGTTTGTCCCTTTGTCAACAGGCTGTATCTCATGAACCATGATAGTTACAAAGTTGAAATTTGATCTGGGTATTTGTTTCCCAAGGAGGGTTGACGTCAAGGAGGCGGCTGGTTGTAAAAATATAGCCAAAACCGCTTACAACATGATTCATGTTGTGCCGACCCCACATAGGTGGGATAGGGGCAGGAGGATGATGATAACTTATATACTTGTCCCTTTATTTTAAAAGTTCGCGTCAAACGCAGTCATTTGAAAGAGGCTATTGTACTTTCGGATGTTGGTTAAAAATGTCCTGATGGTGAATGATTATTTGTAAAAAGATTTTTTATTGGTTGTGGCGGCTCCTCAATATTGGGGAGACTACCTTTTCTAGAAGCACAGCACATACCATTTGGTTCAACGACCCATTTTTGTCAGAACACTTAGAGTAGATCTTATTCGTGGCTACCTATATCTGAAGACTGTTGAGCAAAATGCATGAAAGCTGATCTGTTACTGTGAGCTAAAACTCGATTACGAATGCTAGTCGTTGACGTTTGTTATCTTTCTCTCTAATCTCGTGTACGTCGCGAACGTTCAGACCTCGATTTCCTAGTGTGAATTTGTATATTTATATTATTATACTCTTCAAGCCACTGCAAATACTCTTCTTGACCCTCTCCGACTTGTAAGACGATTTTCAGTTTCCGGTAAAGATTCCTCATTATGACGTATTTTTAATGTCCTCGTCTGGGAACTATTTCTAGAAAGATGAGATCTTGATGTTTTGGCCATTTGAAAATCATAAAAAAATTAAACTTCCTTATTATTTAATAATTAACAGTTGAACAGGAATTACCAGTATAAATGTCATTGAAAACTTATAAGAACTACTAAGTCTCTAAGCTGTTTGGATGGTTAAATTACAATATACTAACATTTTTAAACTTGCAATATCTAAGGAATGGAATGTCCGAATTAAATAATTCAAAAAGTTTTATAAAGATATTGAAATAGTCTTTAATATGAAGTAATTTATTTTTATATGGATTAATACCAAGATACAAATAAGCAGCCTTTGTTAGCGGCGGCATTTCAATCAAAATTTTAAAATAAAAGAACACTGATTTTGGCATAACTATAATAGTTAGACATATGCTGTCGCGACACTTTTTGTAAATAATGATGTGGTCTACAAAGTCGTAGTACATTATTTTATTCTATCATCAATATTTTTCGCAGCGCACGCGATGTAAAGAATATTTTAGGTAATTTTTGTACACCTTGGGTAACATTATTGGAGTTTTAGTAAGGATCCCTAATTTTTTAAAAAATATAATATAGCCTATGTCAAGCAGGGACAATGTAGCTTCTTAACAGTGATAGAATTTTTCAAATCGGTTTAGTAGTTTCGGAGCCTATTCAATATATACAAACAATCAAATCTTTCCTCTTCATATAATAGAAAAAGAAGATTAGTAAACTATCACAGAGCTATTTAATGGATTTGCCTCAGGTCGTTCTATATATGCTCATATTATCATTTCTCATCACGTCATTTGGTGTGACTTGCATACTATTACCGTTGCCCTCGAACATTACTGAGCTGGTCAATTTGAACAATCAAACATAATTAGACGGTGAAAATAAATGAATATCGCGGTCACGCTCAAAAAATAAGTAGGTTAGCTGTTACTATAGATTTCTCTTTCATCGTGGAATGATATGCGAATATTAATCAGTATTTGTCGGGATTTTTGTTATTCCTAAGAATCTTGTGGATTACTGAGCATTGTGCATCTTATTTTCGTAATCATGATTATATACCTAAACGGTATTAAAACATTTTTTGTGATCCCTACTTAAAGTTAAACTACTATATATATAATGAACGCCATATGATAATGAACAGGTACATGTTATGTATTAAATAAAACTGGTTATTTAGTACAATGAGGCAATGTAATTAAATTTTAAATAAGGTAATAAGAGACTTCGAATAAGTGTTTATTATTCAAACTTTGTACAATGTTTTTAAATATGAATTCACTTATTATCTTGCTCATGTGTATTTATAATTGACTAAATGTTATGGGGTTTCTTCTATACCATCAACTTTGTTCACAAGTCTGTATAAAACTAGTATTAATTTTAACATATGTATATCATTTTCAGATGCACTCACCCCGCCGATAAACTACTATCGCGCAAACTTCCCGTTAATTGTTCCCGAGAAGTATAAGGAAGAAAACATCCCAATGCTCGTAGTGAATGGCGAACGCGATCCATTTATTACGCCAAATGTATTAAACGTTATAAAAAAACAATATAAACACGTTGAAACTTTGTTAGTGGAGAACTGCTCACATTTTTTGCAACAGGAGACTCCGCAAAAAGTCAATAGGATTATAAGGGACTTCCTTGTCAAGAATAATATTTAGATTATTAAAATTAAAATTTACCTACATTTTAGGAATATGTACATGCAAAATTTCGAAAATTATTAAACTTTGATTTAAATAAATGTACTTATTACTTCGTGTAGTGCTTTATTAATTTATAAACAAGGGGGAGTGGGGAGTGTAGTCTTAGAAATCCGATGATGGATACAGGTGGCTCAGGATCATGCTCTGAGCCGATCTTTGGTTGAGGGCTTGACCATATCTGACCAGAGAGTACAGAGGCTTTAATGTAACTTGTATTACGTGATGTAAACGCTTTCAATTTTTGTTTATGTGAAAAGTTGCTAAACGTGCAGACGGTTCACCTGATGTTAAGTGAATAGCGCCGCCCATGGACATCTGCTACACCCGAGGGTTTGCGGATGCGTTGACAACCTTTTTGGAAATTGGGTTCCGGCTACCTCACTTACCAGACGAAACGCGAAAGTATTTGTCATACTTCCACTTTACGCCGGTCTTCTATGAGGTCGTGGTACTTACCCGGACGAGCCTGCCCATTCGTGCAACAGCCGAGGCTACTGCGTGGCTCTACCACAATAGATTCACCATTTCAATTCCGAGACGATTGAAGCTTCATCGAACGCAGAAACGGTGGGCCAACCAGAACCCACGAGGCTTTTGATTACGAAGATATTTTTTAGATGACCCGAATAGCTTAGTAAGTTGTGTTGTTTTATGTGTGATGAACATAGTGTTTTTCTAGGAACTAGAGAACGTTGTGTAAAAATATGTCCTAAAATATTTATCTATTTATTATAAAGTGCCAGTTACCAATAATCAAGTTATTTCATTTCATTAAGGCTGGTATTTTATGTTTTTATAAATGGGATTCAAACGGCAAATAGATGTTCAGGATAACGGAAAATGAAATTCCACAATTTTTGCCTGACAAGTTTCGAATTTATAATATGTAATTGGTTAATTCAAAACTAACATCGATACAATTCTGATGGCGATAAAATTAAAATTAACGGTTTCATGTTTTGGAATCATTTCTATAATTATCATACAGTTAACAAGATTTACAATATAGTCGTGGTAAGGACTAGCAGCAGTTTCTGCTGTTACATAAATGGGCAAGTTTGTCCATGAAGTACCACGGGTTCCCAACGAAGACCAACGTAAACTAAGTGTTATAACCGGGGCCTACTTTTATAGTGATTTGCAGTGGATCTGCAACCTGTCAGGTGTTGGAAATGTCTATGGGCCGCGGTAATCTTTTTAATTAATAGTTGTTGGATAGGACATTTCAAGGGCTCCTGTCTGGTAACAAAGAATGATAGAAATGGGTAAAAACATCGAGCTAACGAGGCAGATAGCGTAGCCCTCCTCCGCTTTCTCATACTTCACCACCCAAATAGTTAAACCAACGGCTCGTGACAGCAGTGCGTCAGATAGCTTATACGCATAAGAGTAATAACTTCTTAGAGTGGATCGCAGTTGACTTCCAGAAAGCTTTCTGTGCTTACTTGAGCCAGTCGGCTTATTTGCCTGCCCATTGTGTACAATTTTATACAAACCTAGGTAGTTTGTATAAAATTGTACACAATAAATAAACATGTTTCAAGTCTGAACTGGGAATTTTTCCGCAGGACTTTTCGTGGAAAAGATTTTGATTTTCACAAGTGGATGTACTCGGCTTCAAAAGTAGTAATGATTGTGTACCATCAAAAGAGCTGCTTGATTATCCTATTTTGTTAGTTGTCAAATTTGGTAAATGAGAAATTAAAAAAAATTCACGACATAATAAATTTACCCCTCGACTAGAAATTTGAACCTTGACTTGGATCGCAATCGATAGTGCGACCATCCCAGAGGAAGGAATTAGTTTGAAATTGTGAATTAATCAAAAGACATACCGACGTCGAACTATTTTTTACTATACTAATTACGAATGAAAACTGAAATAACCAGTTAATGAAATCGGTTTATAAAAATAAAAAGTTTTACAATTTATTACATAACGAGCGAATCATCGGTTCGTGTACACTCGCTATCGAGCCATCGGTGGACGTTAACCAGTTCAGGCCTGATTTGCCCCGTCCAATCCAAGAGACAACGCGATTTCTGGTGGCACCGGGTTTTAATTTTGTTACGTCGAAGAATATTTAGACAGTACTATTTAGTAATTTCTACGTGTGTATTATATGTTTACGATTAATCCCTTAAAAATATAACATCCGGTCATTAGGGATAACCCCTTAGTTATGAAAAAAAGCAATCTACCCATACGTAGTAATGGAAGATCCAAGTTCAAATCCCGGAGCACCGAAAATTTTTCTACAATTCATGTACAAAAACTTCCAAATTTCTAAACTTTTAAGATATTAACATTGATAATGATATGATACGACTAGGGTTGCCAACAGTTTTTGAGAAAACTGAAGTATCTCATATTTCAAGTAAAGAAAAAAGTGATAAAATTTTCTTGGAGTACAAATGTTTTTCTTAAATCATATACCTATAACAGTCAAAGCTCCAAGTAGCGTTTGTTCAGAGTGTGTGTTTCAATTTAGAAGTATCGATAAAAATTCAGTAATTATCCGTATATGTATGTGCAGTTTTGTATGCTTAAAATACAACACAATATGTGTTCTATTTTACGCAATATAGTAAAGAAAAGAAATAGAGTATTTTACATACTTTATGTTAATTAAAGTAGGCTTAGTGATTATAAAGTGTGGTTGGTAACCTTATTTACGAGTTTCGCCTAACATTATTAGTTTAAGCGTAAACATAATAAACATTTATTAAATTAGAACGAAAAATAGGGACAGAAAATTTAAAATAACTGAAAATATATATTTAAAATATATTATATATTTTTAAGCACTGCGTTCGGTAATTTTAAATATTTACACAATGAAGGTATAAATTTTTTAAAAAGTTTCTCTATGGACTATCTTTGAAATTTGAATGCTTTCAACATAGTTTATCAAGGTCATGTCACAAATATATATTCGTGACAAGACTAAAGCATTCGTCAATTTCAAAAACTATTTTACTTTCTCTTTTTCTCCAATGTGACAGTTATATAGAGAAACAGTGATTTTATTTTAAAACAATACAATATTTTTTTCATCACCGTACGTACTCTAGACCCTCCTCAAATGAAAGCTAATGGCCGCCGAACACTAATCACGAAACAGCTGATGTGCGTCGTTTGATTTCTCAATTAACATTTATGTTCTCTTATATTATCGTAACATTGTTTAAATGATACGTTATTCGCGAAGCAACGCTCTTTGGAATTCAGGGTTTGTGTTACTAGTATTGCAATTATTTACTTCTATTGAAGTGAGCGTTTTTGTACGCTGTTGGCTTTTTCAGATGTCACTGACGATACAACAAATTATTTTGGATGCAAAAAGACTGGCTGGCCGTTTAAAAGAACGAGAAACAGAAGCGGATGCTTTGCTAACTGAGACTCAATCTGCTTACAGGCAAATTCATACTATGAAACAGGTACAATGATTAGTCTCTTTGTTGGGATTGCTCTTAGCAATAAACTTTTGTTCTGTTTAGTTTATTTTAGTAAACAAGTTTCTGTCACATAAGAAACAAGTTGTTTTTATATTGAAAGTTATTCTTAGATCATTCTATACATCTATTTATAAACGAAATTAACTTTTAAATCTATCAATTTAAATCTATATGTGGTTCTATCATTAACCTTTATTTACATATTATTCATACTTCTGTCAAAAAAACGAACAATAATTCCACTGTGCTTATTGTGGCAAGTAATGAACATAGACAAAAAATATGTTTATATGTCCAGAAAGTAGTTCATACCTTTATATTAAGTGTTCAATATGAAAATTTGAAATAAATTGTAGGTATTTTCATTTCATATTTATGTCCTCATTTTAGTACAAACAAGAGGTGGACACTCTTAATGAAGCTTCAAGGGAAAGGCCACGAGGAGAGCTAATTGCTAGTATAGATCGGGAATCTAGACTTATGCGTGATGTCCAAAGAGAAAATGGGGAGTTACGTGCAGCTCTTGAGGACCATAGAAGGGCATTGGAGCTAATAATGTCAAAGTACAGGCAACATACAGAAAAAAGGATATGGGAGTCGCGGATAGATTTTACTGCTGCCATTAATGACAAGCAACAAGAGGTATATTAGTAAATAGTTTTCATTCAGCTAAAATGCCACTATAATTTATTTATTAAATATTATATTGTATAGACTGAAAAGTATGGTGAAAATGAATTTGTGGTGAATATTTTACCTTTAACTTGCACTTGATTTGTATGCTACATTGCTGTCTTAGATTTCTGCAGGATTATTGTGACAAGTCTTACTACAGGCATTTAAAAAACTGACTTAAAAAACTGTGAACATTGGAAAGCATTAGAATTTCTCTGCATTATTGGATAAAAATATATTAATTCAAAAATAAAATATATTAAAAAGAAAAGATATTGAAGAAAGATCATACTTTATTTTTCCATGAATGGGAATTGAACTTTTCTTCTTTGATTAATGGCCTCTCTTATAAGAATTCTGCCAATGTCATGTGACACAAATTAATAAAATACAAAAAAAAAAGAAAACTATTTTTTTATACTGGATTTGAACTCACACTCCTTGGTATGAGACAAGTCAATAATATTAATATTTATAATATGATAAATATAAATATATATTTACATTTATCATATTCAGTGATCAAAGTCACGCAGTATGTATAAAATGCCTGTGACAGGTGACTTTGCTCTTCTATAGCTGATATTATAATTTATAAATCATAATTTAATATGAAGATAGATTAGATATGACTAGTCTACATATTGTAAGAAAGAAGGAAAAATGTAAATGAAATAAAACAGCATATTATACATACATACCTTTAAGTCAATGTTTTGTATCAGCATATACCATTGTAGGTAAATAGTGCTGGGGTATGAATGAGTGTGTTTATTTCATTGGTTGTAATGATGATTCTGTCTCATCATAATTTGAAAGTATAAGAAAATTAGTTTTTTGCTTTAAGTGTGTTGCTTTAAATGTCAAGCTTTTTGTTTATTTTATTGTTTAGATATCATGAGCGATTTATATATTGATTTATAGCAAATGCCATTTTGTTACCTTTAAAAAAGTAATTAATCTACTTCTCTTATTTTGTTTTATTGACTTTTACGCTTTCTATTCGTCAGAGGCATTGCTCCATAATTCTGTTGTTATTGCATTCTGTATTATCTAATTCCAATTCTCCTGCATATCTTAGGAATACCTCCCAATTATTTCACTATGCTTCTGACAGAGTACCTTGTTCCATTAACCTTTACTACAACTATGGATACTGGATACTTTAACTCTTCTTTTACTGTTCAAGCTAAACTACTCTAAAACGCCCTCCCTTATAAGATCAAAACAGCCCCCAAATAAATATACATTTAAAAAGTTAGTTTGAGAATACCTATTGAAACATTGATTTTATTTGTCTTATACATTTATATATATATTTATGTATCTATATACTTATATCTTAATTCAATCTATACATGTATGTTATATATATATTTAGTTGATGATTAATAATATTCATGTATATATATATATATATATATATATATATATATGCACACACTACATAATTTTATGTTTACATACATTTGCCTACAATTATTAACTTGTAAGGAAGTTTATTTATTTCTTATATTTACTCTTCTGTTTAACACCTGCCATCTACTTCTCACCATGACAAGGATTGACTGGTAGAGAATGTTATATGTTCATATACATAGGCAGTATGTCCACCTTTAGCCTAAGGTGTAAATAAATAAACCTTGACACATTAACTTTGCTTTATAAAAGATTTAACAAATAACCCCACCACCATTTTTTTGTCACTTTAATAGTTAATTCGCCAACAAGCAGAGAGGATCAATGAAATGACAAGTGTTATGTATAAGGCAGTAAACATGGATGAGAATGGAGATTCAAGAAAAGAAGAAGAACTTTACCAAAGGCTTATTACTGAGAACAAGGTAAGGAACATAACTTTGCCGTAAATTTCTATCGTCACACCGATAATTTTTCTTGCGTGCATTTGTATTAGTGATGTGCCAGATCGTTAGAAATGTATATCCATGGTTAGAAATGTATACAGATCCGAATACGGATAATTAATGTCTAGGTCCGCCTATAACGATGCTTTGCTTTAGAGATCAAGATATTTAAAATTTTTCAAGTCTCAGTTATTACATCGTCACCTGCAATAAGTGTTCAAAGTGATTAGGCATTCCGCTTCGTGCTCTTGTACGGAACGGACCTCTCTCTAAGACGGAGGGCACATGCCACCCGAATTAGACGCTACTCGCAACTTTTCTTGCAATTTAAATCTTTGTGCAAGCAGTGCAATAGTTGAGTGTTAGTGTAGTGTTGTGCTCATAGGCAGGTTCCTGTCCGTAAGTAGAATTCTACACACATTTCTCGCTTCAGAGGTGGCATTGCCTATTTTTTAACTGTGTGCTTGTTGCATTAGGCGACAGCTAGGTACTCACCCTAGCGCACCTAAAGCGAAGTTATTTTGTAGGCACGCAATTGTTATTTTGTAGGCACGCTCCTCCCTACCGCAAGGTGGGGAGGCTTATTAAGCTTACACACGCCGGAGGGGCACATACGTTACGATGGGTCCCTTTTCGTGGAGTTCGTCCGACAACGCTGTCCCAATATATGGGAAAGCTACCTAGCGTTCGTGGCCGAAAAACGATTAGTCATTGAAAACGCCAACGATAGTCCGCCTTCATCGGCAATCGCATCGTCGACATGTCCGGCGCTCTCTGCGCCCGTAACACCGTCGCCTTCCACGATCAAATATGCGTGTGGTTCGAACGCCACAATATTCGCGACACCCGGTCAAAAAACACCCATCAAGGTATCCGTATATACTTCGATAGCACCGATGATTTCCGCCGCGTTACTGAATATTTACGCGAAAACAAAGTAGGTTTACATACCTACTCGCTGCCTGAAGAACGTAAACTTCGGGGAGTCATAAAGGGCATCCCGAAAGAGTCGTATGTCGACAATGTAAAAATCGACATCCGCACTCAGGGAACCCCGGTGCCCCTAAGACCGGGTTCCCCGCCTTGACGTGGCGGAGGGGCTTAGTAGCCGTGGCTTGGTCCCCCACGGCGAAGTTAAGAGGCCGCTCCGAGTGGGCTCAATGAGTCTACTCTGGATGCGTGCTGGAGGGTGCAGGGGACAGGTCGAGGGTGGTATAGGTGGAGCCACTCTCCCAGTCTTCTGCTACCGAGGAGGAGTCGCGGAGGAAGAGGAGTGTCTGTATTGCGGTGCGCCGTTCTCCATATCCTCCGCCGAAACGTGGTGAGCGGCGGAGCCACAGACCAGGTCCGCCGCTGGGGGCTGGGAGGCTTGCTGCTTATTAGCACTGGCTCTCCTGGATCCCATGGCCCCGGTCAGCGAACTGGGGGGAGTTCGTTGGCCGTGAAAATGGGGCCGAGGAGGAAGGCGCGCTGAATGTTCCAGTGCGCCTTAGCTGGAGGAGAGGGGCTCCGAGGGGAGAGGGGGAGAGGGAAGGGGGAGAGTTGCTCCCCGTGAGGAGGCTGCTAAGGTGGCCAGCGCTGGCAGGGTCTGCCGATATGCGCCTGGGTATAACATCGTGGGGGTTTTAGTCGGTGCGAGTCCGACATAACCCGCTCTTGCCCCCGCGAGGGCGGGTATGCGTAGGCATTTCCCCCACGTCAACAAAAAAAAAAAGGGATACCCGGTGCACGCCGTCCGCCGCCTACGTCACCCCAGAACCCGTGTCCCGATGGACATTGTAATGGTGGAGTTAGACCCTACCCCGGAAGGTAAGGCAATTTTTAATTTGAAGAGGCTCTGTAGGCTTAGCGAACTCGTCGTTGAGCCTCCACGGAAGTCAGACGTTGAGACACTATGGCCACACGGCTCGCAACTGTGTTGCTCACCCTAGGTGCCTCAAATGCACCGGTGACTACGGCACGACAGATTGCACGCGTCCTAAAGATTGCGCAGATGACAAGGAAACCGGACTGCGTAAATTGTTTGACCACCGAACACCGGCTACCTACAGGGGCTGCTCTAAAGTTCCAAAAGCCCTAGCGAAAGTCACGCTCGTGAAAATCGCGGCCCCGAAATCCGCGCCCGCGAATTACATTCCCGCGCCCGCACCCGCCGTAAACGACTGGGCGAAACCCCAGGCAATTCCGCAGGTAGCCGCGCCCCCGGTCGCCTCATGACCGACGACATTCCAACCGCAGCCTTTTTTTTTCCGTGGGAAAAATCATTTATGGATCCAGATCTAGTGGCAGGGGTATGTGGGAGTTCCGGTGAGAAACGGGTACACACTAAAAAACCCACGTTGCACCTGTTTGTCTCATCGGCCGGGGATACGGGAATACGTGGACGCAATCTTCCGCGACTCTGGCCTTTTTAGGCCTCCTCTATGCATCGTGCTGTGCCGGTGCACACGTCACGAGCCCCATGTTGAGCGACAGACACCCCCATGTCTGCCGCTCAGGGTCTCACTATCAGGGGGGAAGGTTGCGCGCGCAGGCTCGCCTTCTGCGTCCTGGTCTCCGGCGGCGGATTTCCAGGGTGGCAGTTGCCTCCCTTTCTTTCTCCGCAGCCTACTTCCGGGTGGTAACGTCCTCGCAATATGCGAGGACAGCACTCCACGCCCTCTCGCTGTCAACCATAGCGCGAACCACGGCTGGCAGCGAGAGGTCGTGCCCCACGATAGCGCATACCTCTCGGCGCTGCTCCGTCCAGGCTGAGCACTCCTCCAGTGCGTGTTGGGTCGTCCCCTCGGCACTTCCGTCCCAGTGGTGACATTCCGCTGTGGGCTCCCTGTCTCCGTCCCCCAATGTCTCCGCCACGCTCGCCACGCGAAACAAATACCTCCCGAAACAGCCATGTCCCGAGAGGATCTGAGGGTGCCGTGTCGCCTGTCCAGCCACTTCCTGAGGACATACGTCCTGTATGGCCTCTACGGTTCTTAGGCCGGCACTGGGGTGCTCCAGCCTCTGCTCCCACTCCTCGATGGCGTTTGAGCGAAGGCGATCCCTGCGCTCCCCCAACTCCTCCGGGGCCGGCATATGGCACTTGGCTTTTGCAGCCTCGCGCCAGGAGTGCAATGACGCGAGGATCTTAGCTTTCAGATCCCAGGGTATAAAGCCGGCCAACAGGCAAGCCGCCTCACCGGAGATCGTCCAGTAAAAAACCCTGGGAGAAAAAGGTCAAATATTTAGGAGTCACTTTCGACTCGCGTATGTTATTCACAACGCATATTAATAACGTCCGTAACAGAGCCGCGTTCGTCTCCGGGCGGCTATGTACTTTAACTAACCATTCAAGTAAAATGTCCTTAAGACACAACTTACTTTTATACAAAGCTTGCGTACGGCCAATCATGTCCTACGCATGCATGATTTTCGCCCACACGCACCCTACTCGCTTGCACAAGTTGCAAGTAGTGCAAAATAAGTTCATCCTCCGCGCAACCAGTGCGCAGTTGTATCAATGCAACGCCAATCAGCACAACGATTGCAGACTCCCGACGATTCGCGAATTTTTCATAGACTTGACCAAACGGTTCTTCGATAGAGCCGAACATCATCGCAACCCAAGTTAGTGTAGCAACACACACATTAGTTCGCCCTCGCCTCCGAGCACGGCGAGACCAACAGAACGCGTACACAAGGTACACTCGTGTTCCAGGGCAGTTCTCACCGCCCCCATCCACGGATTAGCTAAAAACACAGTCAACGGCCATCGGCATCATTGTCCGCACCGCAACCTTGATGACCCTTAGTTGACATGCCGTAGTTAAACGCACGCATGAGCACATGCGCGGTCCAACACACTACCCACAGCGGAGGGCCCAAATCCGTGGTTCTGGCCAAGTTAGGTTAGGTTAGTTCTTTAGTAGTCTTGGGACTGAAGGCACAAACATCAGTTAATACAAGATACAAGAAGTGATTAGTTTTTTTTATTGCAGCAGGAATTGTTTTATGATCCCCATTTAGACTTTTTAGTGAGAAATCTGCCAAGTTACTTTTTTGATGAACAATTTATCATTACTCAATTTTAATATGACATATTTATTTTAGTTCCACAATATAAGTATTTTATATTAAAAAAAAGTATTTGTATTATATTTCTATCGTGTTATTTAATAAGATTGATTATTTTAATAAGAATATCACGACAAAACTATTGATCTCATTGTGAAGATAATTTAAGTCAAGTCATACCTTACAACTTTCATATACAAAATTAATTTTAAAATATTTAGTAAAAACAATTTTGACAATCTTGACTCGTCTAGAGTTTCGACCCGAAAGTCCCGTGATTCGAGACAACTAAAATTACGAAAACCCTAGCATATTATACTACCGAATATTATAATTATTAATTAAGTTATGACATCACACCTCAGTTACATTAAACAAATATTCTTTAAAAACCTAAAAAAATCACATGAACTATGTTGTCAGAAAGAGATAAATAGAGATAAATTGTTCATTACATGTTGACTACTATTTTTAAATTTTATAAGCAACATTTTTTTAAATATTTTATGAATTTCATATGATTCAATGTTTCACAAATATACACTTTGGATACTCAGAGCATGCATTGTGACATTCATTTAATTTGACAAATTTCAGGGCCTCAGGGAGATGTTGGATTTATCAAGGCGGTATGGTTCAGAGAGAACATTTGCTCCACCAACAGAAGATAAGCACGTACAAACAGATGGTCCTTCTCTATCAAATGCGTGACGCCCTGTGGCGGACACATGCCGCCTCTAATGCGCAAATCGCGCCTCTTTAAGCGCTTTATGCGACTGTATAATGCGCAAAATGCGCCTCTGTCATAGGTAGCATATATTACCTCCTGTCGGCACATTTGCTCTTTTCCTTGTCATCTGGTATCAATTGACCACTCTCAAAATATGCATAGCCTTTAGCTATCACAATATTCTGTATAATTGTTGACTACTTACTATGAATTTGGAATACTTTAATTAAGTGTAAGGAACTTGCAAATTTTACTGTAAATTTAGCTTCAGCATTAAATTTCATATTTGAGAGGGATTAATTGAAGCTGGACTCTTTGATTGATTCTTCAGATGTGCAGGCAGGAAGCACTTACTAATATGTGTCACCGTTCCTGTATTCAATTTTTACTTTACTGTTATTCATATATACTGGGTTTTGGCATTCTTTCATTATGATTTCTTTTATTAAGGATATGGTATGTGTAAAACATACAAGAGGGCATTGATTAATGACGTGAGGCAATTTCGGCGGTGTTTCGGCGTCTTCCCTTGGTGAAATGTTGTGAGATTTTGCTAGACCCCATCGGTAAATAAATTAATTCCTTAATGTAAAAAAAAAAAATATAATTTGTTTATTTCTTTTTATCAATGTTATAACTGGAGACTCTTTTGCGCTTCTCCGCCCGTTGTGGAGTTTACTTTTTCTCATCCAAGCTTTTGTTTCGGCCGTGTTAAAATTCGAATCCGTTTTTAGCTGGTAACACGGCAAACAATTGAGGGGCTCATTTATATTATAATCATCTTTACCATAACATCAGCTAGTTTTAGTCAATTGCTGGTCATAGGCTACTAGCTATTGCACTGTTTTATGGTTTTACGGTTTGCATAACCCCTATAAATATTATTACTATGATTTGGTCATATTTTAGCGGATAAACATTTTTACTTAATTTAACTCTAACTCTTACTCTTACTCTTGGCAATTTAACAGTATTTCTTGTAAAAATAAAATACTTAATATTTGTCGAGACTCCCTCTCCTCATGTGAGATTATTTGAGGTTCGACTCGAGCCCCTCGCCGCTTAATGCACCACTGAATTAATTGACGCCCCCTAAGATTAAAACAATGTTCATTCAATATTAAGGTATATCACCGCAATCTTTTGCAGAAAATTAATTACAATTATTGTTGTTGAAATTATAAGCAAAACTGTGATCTTAGTATTTGCTGTTTAGATTTGACATTACTTTGGCTACTTTATGTAAAGATCTTACTATGTATTACAATTATATATCAACATTTAATTTCTCTGTGTGAATGATATTGTTACTGTTGTGCAGTACATTTAATTTTGTTATTACCATTTAGTAAATATTCATATCTGTATTATCTGACACAATAACATTAAAACCGTTAAAGTTTTTTAGTGACAGCACCATGGGGGTAATATAAATAAAATGTATTTTATTTCACTCACCAGGTGTATATTTATAGTTTTGAAATAAAAGTAAAGTCAAAATCTAATACTCATATGGAGCGTGTGGCAATGGCCTGTTGAATTCTAGTATATGTTTTGACAGCATCATAGATTACTCGAATTTTTATTATAAAACCTTTTGGAATATCTTTTATTCGTAAGTGCAGTACTTTCTGGGACCCGTCAGTGTTTTATTGGTGTCATCTAATTATAATTGGAAAGTAAGGTGTTAACAGAGGGAGAAAGACAATACATTCGGAGTATAATTTCGCATTTGAGTAAACGACCATTCGCATCTGTGAGCTCAGAGTAATAAAAATGATTAAGTTAATCAAAACAGGGAACAAATAAAATGTATTTTTCTACAAAAGAATAAACTAGTGCATATTAAACACTTGTAAAAATTCGACTAACATACCTATTCGGACCTTTATTGAACGGCAACTTACAAAAATGTTTTATTTTTAATTAACATTTTGTAAAAATTATTAACTAGTCAAGTAATAACAACACTGGTCATGTTAAGTACTGTATTTACCATTAACTTTAGCTTCTTGAAAAATATACTTTCGTTTGTTAAAATTATAGCTATAAGTTCTATTAATAAATTGAAATACTTTATGAACGGCAAATAAAGTCAAATGAAAGATAGTTAAAATTGTTCAAGTATTAACTAAGCGCTTACTTAGTGATACATAGCATAATTAATATGCAATATTTTTTCACGCGATTGGGCCAGCTTTGAATGTTAACTGTTGAAGTAGAAAGAAGTATAGTAGTCATCATTTGTAGATGGTTTTAGAAATTCTTATGCCCTATTATGGGTGAGCAAGCAATACTATAAGGACTGGTTCTGATAAAATATCTATTTGTATGGAATATTTTGGATCTTAAGATGATGCAAACTCTAGCTGTAATAATGACCGTCCTTACTCAAGCTACACAAAAATAAGAATCGAACTGTGTGATGTATTTGTAAAATCTCATTGTTTATCACTTTATTGATTGGTCGGAAAATCTTTAAAAGCTGCTCTTAGAAGCTATTGTTTTAGTCTGAAGTAAGCAAAATAGTGAGGCTAACTGCGGCATTGTAGGTTAGAGTCGCGTAAAAAAATTATGGTCGCCCTAAAATTGGTCGTCATAGGTGAGTATTATTAATAAAAAATCAATATAGTTTATTGGCAAATTTATGGTACCCAAACGCGCTAACTTGAGAGTGGCCATAATCAGAGTGTTTGGTTTTAGGTATATCACAAATTCCCTTACCTCAAAATGTAGATTTTAACCAAATAGTTTTAACAATTATTTTACCCTATTTTAATTTTTTTATGTAATATATACTCTATACTGTGTAATCCTACTAAGAATTTGTTTATTTTTTTTTGTCAACTTGCAAATTCACTACTATTAAGTAATATAAAGGAAAACAAAACCAATAAAACCGCGCAAATATAAAAGATCAAAATAGCAAACTGATCTACTGCTTTACTTTAACTACAAAAAGAGAAGTAAGGAGTAATGGATGTTGAAATTATTTCTAAATATGAGATTTTATTTCATATAAAGGTACATGTTGTAAAATAATTTACTGTTTCGAAATATTTATACTCCAATAAGTATTTTGTGTTAAATTTGTTCTGTACTTTATACTTTAATACATTATAGGGTTCCATAAACATTTAAACATTGTTTGATTGTTTAGCTTTTAAGGTTTCTCAACAAACTGCTATAGCACCTGCTATAACAATCTCTGAGAAAGTAATGTTGTTGGATATTTAGCATTTTACAGTTTAGAGATAGTTATTACTGTATTTTAGTTATTGTTATGTCTTTAAAATGTAAAAAGGTATATTGAAATATGCAAAGGAATGAAAAGTATTTACCTCAATAATAAATATGCTTATGTGAGGTCTTATAATAAACTTAAAATTGTAGTAATAAATAAATAAAAATAAGTTTTAAGAACGCTATTTCGACTTCTATGCATTTATAACCTTAAGGTTTTTACATGAGATTATTACTCTGATTTAAACAGATGTATATTTCTATCTTCATATGTAAATTCTTTATTAAAATGGTTATATATTGCTAACCAATTCTTATAGTTATTTGTTAAATCTGTCCTATTTTTGTGGACAATATATCTTAAAGGAGAATAAGTTATTTGCACAAGTGAAACAATTTTGAAAAAAGTAGATGTTCCTTGGTAATGGCAGGTGTAGTTAACTTTGGACCTATTTTGTAGATACATTGAAAGCAATCATAGGTAAAAATTTTTCTCAGTAGTAACATGTAGTGCTAAAATCTAATAATAATGTATCCTCAAAAATGTATTTGACAAATATACAGTTAAAAAATACCACAATATATTCCATTTTCTAAAACCTTTAGTTTATCAATATAATGGTAGCATTGTGAATTTAAACTATTTTACTAATGATAGAACTGTCCCGTGACCATGAACGGTGGAAGGGGTTCAAAACGTCGGGAATTTAAAAATTTAATTAAACGCGATACAACCTGTAAAACAGTTTCATTTGAAATGTATAATATTCAGGTAGAAACGAAATATACTTTTTTAATAGTGCTAATTTCTACACTTTAGATTATTCTACAAATTTTAATAAAAGTAAGAAATCAATATTGGTAGCATTTAGTAATGTTAATAAGTGCTGAATTCGTTTTGTTTAATTGAGCTTTAGGGATTGTAAAAATGTGCCTGTTAAGTGTTTACTTTAGTGTTTGGTTTATATAGTAAATTTGTAAAAATGTTTGTGCATTTTTACAAATTTACCATATATAATATAATTTAACTAATAATAACCACCGCCCATAAACATTTGCAACACCCGTAGGGTCTCAAATGCGCTACCTCACTCACCAGACGAAACGCGGAAGTGTAACACTTCCACTTTATGCCGGTCTTCTGTGAGGTCGAGGTACTTACCCAAATAGACCTGCGCATTTGTGCAACAGTGAACACTAATGTGTTGCCCTACCACAGTTATCATCAAATTCATGTCTATTCTAGTCTTCACTTTTACTACTGTATGCATACTAAGGCAACTACACTAATCAAAAAAAGTGTAATTGGTTGTCCTGTTGTATAAAAACACTAATGACCATTTTCACCAATGATCCTATAATTAAGGGACACCCAAAAATTTATGTGCTAGTTTCCTTTTCACCACGGTTTAAGTGTCTCACACTTAAGACTAGGTGACACTAAAGCAGCGGTGAAAGTGGGCATTGGGCACATAAAATTAAATTTAGGGATTTTTAACAAGGTCTCATATTCTTGTCCTTACCATTGAGTGTCAGTGATATAAACTTTTTTCGAGAACTAAGTTCATTGATATACTTGCATATAATACAAATGTCATCTAGGGAACTATCATAGCCACAAACAAGATTATGTATGAACACAAATAATATGCTAATGTATTTGATCTGGGTGGTTAACCGGTGCTCAGTTTTTAACGGTTGGGAATGCATCTGCACCCATTATGGTGATGTCGATGACCAGGCTGAATTCACTTATCAGGCTCTATTGTTAAAAAAGTCGTGAATCGCCCAAGATTCATTAAGAGCGCGCGTCGATCGCGAGCAATTTCTCGCAATGTTCGGTGGTAGAGTACAGGGATTTTCATCCGAAATATATCCCAAAGACAGTTCAATAGTATAATCGACTACTTAGTAATATTTATCTCAGTGAAAAGTAATTAGATAAATATAGCATTTGTGAATGTCACTGGCTCTAAGATTCTCTTGTGCTATAAGCCCAGTTCTGACTCATTTGAAATTTTATTTAGTGAAATAATAAATGTTAGGATCCTTCCTAGTGCTCAGGGCCTTATAGTTCCAGAGGCTGCCTCCAGCTATAAGCAGTGACATTAAATAATCTTATTATGTCACTGAACTTAGGCTCACTTGATGTAAAAAAAGTGTTAGGGTTTTTTGCAAAAACATTGAACTATGAAATTGTAATTATAAGCAGATTTCATTTTTTTTTCATTTTAGTAACAAATATTTTGTTGTATGTATATTGTATGTAGACAATTTCACAGTAGTAAATATATATTTACTAACCACAACTGTGTCCATGTGAAATATATATATTTACACATTGAAAGAAATTTGCTGGTATGAACTTTAATTAAGCTACAAAGTTAGTTTTTTTATTTAACTGTGGCAAATATGTACTCTACTGATATTTTGTAAAAATTAGGAATATAAAAATCAAAACTCCAATTTAGCCAAAGTGGTATAATAGATCTTATTAAAAGCCTGCACTTCAACATTACACTTTTATCTAAACATACAAGAATCATACCCTTGTTTGGGTGTATTCTGCAGGGAATTTGAAGGAATGTTGGCCTATGGCTTCAATATTTGGAAGGAGGCCAGCATTTGGTATAATATTCCATGATAGTGTAAGTGTTACATTTTGATGACCCCTGTAATAATAAAAATAGTTATTTATTACTTTTGAAAAGAAGCAAAATCTACTAATAAAATTAAGGGTACAATGAGTGAAGACTATTTCATTTTTGATGTAAAATAATATCTAAAGAATTGCAAGTTCAATTTATAGAAAAGGATATAAGTACTGACTTACTTTAAACCATTACCGTCATCCCAGAAGTAGTATTTTGTATTCATGTTTTTAAAATCAAGTATGGCATTTTCTCCTCTTAAGATAATTTTATCCCACAGCACTACTTGATTAAGTTCATTGTTAGGTGTTACATATTCTGCGGTTAGGTATAAGAACAACTGTTTTACATTCCAATTGAAAAGGTGAGACAGATCTGTTTTGAGATCAAATGTCAAAAAGCCAAGGTCATTTCTTTCTTTGTAAGCACCATAATCTGGGACATGCTTACTGAAAGGTAATTTAACATTTTAAAAGTAAATATCAAAAGCTTACGATAATGATGGTTTTGTTTATGTCATTCAACAAAAACTTATAAATGGTAAATTAAAGGTTGCCCATTTATTTATAATGATGTATTTCAATCTTGATGGTAGTACTTACACGACTACTTTCACAGTGTTCATGTGTGCGGCTGTTCTATAATCCACGGTTAATGTGGATAAAAAGCAAAGAAATGTTAAACATGCCAACACACTAAGAGTATAGGTTAATATTGCATTTCCTCTTGTTAGAACGGAATACATTTTGAAAAATGTTTATTGTAATGATAGCTTCTATTTTGTTATTTAGCCCAATTTTAGTGTTTAAAGTTTTTAATTAACTTTTCTCTTGGCCGACTTGATGACATTAAAGACACGTCACACAGAGTACAGTCAACTTAAGTTGGTGCTTTTGCTTTGGTTTGGCAGTGTAGTAAATTATTTTCAATAAAATATATGCCCTAGTCCCATTCTAAAAGGTATATTTTAAAATGATATGTCACCATAAATATGTCAAAACCTTACACGTATTCAACGTTTCGTTATTCACATAAGAGTTTAGTCTTTTTCCAATATACTTTTTATGGACGTTATTAGTTTGTTTTCATTTAAAGATACTCTGAATTAAAATAAATTATACATTGATAAAACAAACTTTATAAATTAATTTGGATCGATACAATTTATTTTTATTTTGATACTAAAATTTATTAGCTGTTATAAAAAAATCTGTTTTACTTTAATATTAAAATGTGCTATATCGGCTCCTTACATCGGGAGTTTTGTAAGAAGCATTGACCATTATATATATATCGTGTTTCGGTTACTATCTTTTCCTTAAAAGGTGATCTGGATAATCGTTCGGCTTTGGCTACCGTAGTTCGTTTGTTCTTGAAGAATTTGCTCTGGGCCGGCCCAGGGGGGTAGGTGGGTTAATGGCGGTAGAGGTGGAACCATTCCTTCTGTCCTCTGCAACCGAAGTCGAAGTCGCGGGTTTGCTATGTCGTTTAGCCACATCTTCCTCGGCTCGGTGGGGATATACCACTGATGGTATATACTGCTGATGATGAAGTGGTGGGGTTATGGGGCAGGCGGGAGAGGAATGCACCAAAGAAAGCGATGAACCATTTTCCTTATCCTTCGCGGCCGAAACGTGGTGAATGACGGAATCACATACCAGCCGCCGCTTGTTGTTTATTGGCAGTGGTTCTCTCATTCTTATGGTGTCTAGGCAGAATGCTTGGACCAGTCATTAGCCCATACAAAAGAGGTCCTTTGTGGAGGCGCGCTGGCTGCTGAGACGGTTTTGTTAGTTCAAAAGCTGTGCAATGAGGGGAAAATGCTAATAAATGATTTTTTTGTACAATAGCTTGGGAAACTTTTATTCAAATTGTTTATGTCTAGCGGACCCGAAAAACGTCCTGTAAACACGAATTAAGCCCGACAACAACTTAAAATAAAAAAAAAGTTTTAGTGGACCGATTTGTGATCTAAAGACGAAGACAGAAAAATTTTCATTAAAATCGTTCAGTGTGAGTGTCAGTTCATACACACGTACAGAAGAATTATATATATATATATATATATATATATATATATATATATATAGTTACAGATAGAAAACCGAGCTTGTGATAACACCCGATCTTTATTGCCATAGCCTCGTTAATCACCTTTTGGAGAAATTGGTGTTCCATTTCAGTCTTTTGTGAGGCTATGGTTCAAACGAAGTATATCGGATGTAAAGGGTTATCCTGAGCAAACAGAAGGAGGCTGTTGTTCACCAGCATCCCCTCTGCCAGAACGAGGTTTTGCCCAGTGTCCGGGGTACTTCGCATCGTCATACCGGTATCAATGAAATTGTTAATTTTAACTGCTCACATATCATGTGCTCAACGGCGAAGGAAAAAATCTTGAGGAAACCCGCATATTTTGAAGATATGTGAAGTCCGCCGCATTCAGCAGTGGTGTCGAGTTGTAGACTATGCCCTAATGTCCCCTGCACAGAGGAGGTCTTTGCCCATCCGTGGGACATTTATTGGCAGTTACTTTTATGAAAAATTATCATTTCTGCAATTTTGATAAATGGAGTCGGACGGTGGGAACGATCCAGAAGAGGCGTTAAAATTATTTAAATAGCGGGAACGGCACAACGCATTAGCAATGTGGCGCGCTCGGCTCTGTGAAGAGCGTTATGCGCGAAAACGCGTTGTTGGAGCTTTCCTTCCGGTATTCGAAGCCTGGATGGATCGTCGAGGAGGTAGATTCACTTATAGACTTACACGCATAATTACCGGAAATGGATGTTTCGGTAATTATCTGTATAAGATCGGGCTTGAGGCGACCTCGAGCTGCAAACATTGCGGAGGGAGAGATGAGGACTCCGCATCCCATTCCCTGGTGAATTATCTGGCTTGGGAATCAGAACGTACTACCCTAACGGGTGAAGTCAGACGGTACCTCTCACTACCAGCAGTAGGGATGGGTTATACTTGCTAAATCGCGTACCAGGTCCTAAAAGTACGTCCATCTTCTCCAGGAAACCAGGTATCAAAATACTTTTAAAGTATTTTCACGACTAGTCAAATACTTGTTTCCTTGCAAATTTAAACCTTATTGCTATACAAATAAGATTCAAAATATTCCAATCAAGACGTAAACTTGTACTTTGAAAGTATTTTATTTCACGTATAATTGCTATCTGAACCTTATATGTATCTACATAAGTTATCTAATCAAATGAGAGAGACACTTCAGGCGAGACCCATTTACATTGCTTCGCCATAGCACGGCGCAAGCCCAGGGATGGCAACTTAGGAATAAAAAATGTGGAAAGGAAGTTTTTTGGGATGTACATTTTTACGGGAATATTTTTTAGGAGTTGAAATTCTCATTTTCGAAAAAAACTACACAAAACTTAAAAAAAATAAAATAAAGTTATACAGTGCTGTGCTTTTTTGGACGACGTCACGCCAAGGCCTATGTGTCTGGTATGAATATTTTATGTATTCTAATATATTTTTTTAATATTGTTTTGATATTTTATTCTTAACATATTCATTTCAAATGAATTATATTATATTTGATGTTCTCGGCCATTTTGAATGAAATGGTTTATTTTATCACATAATTTTTTGCCTTTACCTATAATTAAAAAAAATCGTGATTTAAAATTGACTTGCAAGACTTTCAAGTCTTGCAAGTCAATTTATCGTCAAGTATATCGTCTATTCGTCAAGTATATCGGGTCGGCACCTGGTTGGTATACTTGCAAGGAAATACCTGGTATCAATATCTGGCACCATCTCTAACCAGCAGTCGTGTCGGCGATGCTGAGTGGAGATACAGCATGGAGCGTCCTAGCCACCTTCTGTGAGAAGGTAATGGTCCAGAAGGAGGTTGCTGAACGAGAAAGAGAGAGGACGGATCCGACTCATAGGCGGGGCCGAAGAGATGCTCGCGCATCTCCTCATGGTCCTTTAAATATTAATTCTGCCCTATCTGAAACAATGTTGCCCCTGTTTCGGTCGCGGTTTGTGTGAACGGTCGCTGTGAAGACAGCAGACCGATGCAGGTACAAGTCCTTAAGGTCTTGCAAAACGACTCTTAGGAGTAGGACCCGATGGCTCGAATCGGTCTTGAACTATATCTAGCACTGCGCAGATGGGGCTATCTCAGGCATACGAAGAAGTGTTCCGCGGTAGTGTTCGGAAAGGAGATCCCGTGACCCCTCATTTTAGTAGCTGGCGACCACCGTGGGGATTTAGTCGGTGCGAGTCCTACATGACCTGGGTTACCCCTCACAGGGAGCTCAGGTATCCATAACGGATTTCCCCACGAAAAAAAAGGATATCTATCTACAAATATTTGTTATCTTCTTAAATTTGCCGCAGGCGTGAAAAAAACCAGTAAAGAAAATATCTGTCGAAATCGATTTGAAAGTGAAAATGGTCATTGTATTTAGAACGCTTCTAACATGTTTATAGATTTTTATTTCTATTGTTCAAAAATATTTATTTATTACGTTATATTTAACATTCTTTTTTATTTACCATAATTATTTATACAGGGCAGCTTTTCTAAGTGTATCTAACTCATTTATTTTACGCGCGATCATTCATAACTAACACGCACACAAGTTCGTGCAGAGTAAAATTTAGGTATTTATGAATGAGAACACCATTGTCAACACGTTCTGTTTTGGAATAGAATGGCATAATTTTGTTTGGAATTTTTTCAATTTCAATAAACGATAATACTACCGAGTCTGAACCTCCTATGTAAATTTGGGCACTTCTCGAAAAATCTCCCTGTATGTGCTTACAAAGAAATTACGAGTTGAGTACATATATAATTTAAATTTTTTGATTACTTATTTACCTACCTCATATACTTTGATTATATAAGTAATTAGTTTTACATTTTAGGAGGTTTTTATACAATGTTATCTATTCACAAACTAAGCAAAGCTTGTACTGTGGATAATCTTGAAATAATTTTTTTTTAAATTTTTGTTTCAAAAAAAAATTTGAAAACTAAATAACTAAAAATAAATAAATAACAAAAAAAAATAAAAAAAATACTCAAAGCTTTTGCTACGAATGATATTTACAAATAAATAGTTGTAAAAATACAAAACTATTAAAATAAAGTCCTAGTCTATGCAGTGGGTGCATTTTCGTTTACTAACAAGGCTATGACGAAAATAAAGATCGTTAGTGGCACTGCCGACGTCGCCACTGCCTCGTTACAAGGCACGCCGCCCGCCACTGAGCGGCAGAAGCACACTCGAGTGACAAAACTGCCATTTCTCTGCTGGTAACAGCCGCTGGTGACCGCCTCCCCGAACGAATTCATTGCTCGGGTGCACATATAAGTTGAGTTTTCCACTGAAATTTAAGAAAAAACCTTTTCTCTATGTGTTGACATTGCTCTTTAAATTTGTTGCCGTTTCAATTGTAAAAAAAGGAAATGTTTTTTTATCGTTTTTAAAAATAAAAAATAATTTGAGTAAAAACGACAAGATTATTTTGCTAGAATCCTGAAGGTATCCAGAGAGAGAATCCTGTTTAAATAAGACTGTTTACAAACAATTATTTTAAAGACATAAATGTTGACTTACTTTTATAATTTTAGTACATTCATAGACACTCGCACAATAAACACGAATCTAACGATATACAATTAATCGAAATCGGTTCAGTCGCTTAGGTGTTATGGCCGTATATAGACACACAGATGTATCAAATACATAACCCCCCTTTTTTGACTTTACTGCAGTCAGGTAGTAACATTCATACAAGATTTACTAATATTAGCCAATCATTCAAACTAAACATTAAAGATTTAATAATTTTAAGTCGATAATTTAGATTTTTTTACCGATCGTTAGTGCATAAATCTTTGTCTCTCATAGTACAACGGCAGACACATCATCTTTTACGACATAAAATAACCTCGGTGCGCAGTCTACGGCAGGTATACATACACCGCTGCAGTAAAATATGTGCGAGCTTGTATTATTCTTGTAGTATAAGAAGTCATTACAGATAAAAAAATACCGTGTCCATCAAAGTAGTATGTGTATTGGGCACAGACGTCATTTTGTCCCAATATGCAAGAAGCATTTTGTGAATGGTGTGTCCAAATATATTCCACGTCTGGCCAAGTCCCGTCGTCTGAAAATTTGTTAAAAGTTTAAAGTACTCTGTGGTTGTGCATGCATGGAAATCCCCGATTTCATTAACTTAAAAATTTGTCCCTATATAGAACAATGTTATCAAAGTTTTTACAGTGGTAGGGCCACGCAGCAGCCTCACGCAGCTGTTGCACGAATGGGCAGGCTCCTCCGGGTAAGTACCACAGCCTCACAGAAGACCGGCGTAAAGTGGAAGTATCATACTTTCGCGTTTCGTCTGGTGAGTGAGGTGGCCGGAGCTCAATTTCCAAGGGTTGTCAACACATCTGGAACCCTCGAGTGTAGCGGATGTCCATGGGCGGCAGTATTCACTTAACATCAGGTGAACCGTCTGCTCGTTTGGCAACTTTTCACATAAAAAAAAAGTTAATACGAGTAATAAAATAACATCATTTCTGATATATCAACAACATTAGTAATATTTTTATAACTGCCTCTGATTTTTCCACTATTTATGAAATAACATGGCACGGAGAAGAATTAAGACTGTATTCTATCCGAGGGTGAAGATGATGGCACATTAATGTATTTTACGTTTGTCTTCAGCAGTTAAAATCGTCAAAAGTAATATCCCTTGCCTTATAATCATTGTTTATTACAATTACATTATATTAAGTAAATGGAAATTAAATTGCTGAAATTTATGGATAATACCTATTTTTGTAATCTTATACGTAGTTAATAGTATACAAAGTGAATTTGTCATAAGTAAAACTGAAAATAGTACTTACAGGATACAACAAGGGGTTGTGCACAGGGGACGCCGTTCGCCATTCGAGTGGCCTCTTGGCAGGTAGCGTTCAGGAACACGCTCTCATTGTTATACCTTGGCCCGAGCCACGTGAATTGAAAACAACGAGATACTGGATTCGATTGTGCCTCGACCGCAAATCTAGCTAGTGATGTGAACAAACGAAATATAAAAAGCGTCGTATCTATATACCACAATCGCTTTCTCAATTGTTTACAAAATCGTTCGTAGTTCGATTTGGATAGTGAAGCAGGAGATAAACATGTTTCATAAATGCGTTTATGATATAAACTGTTTATTATCGTTATATTACAAGACTTATAAACTGACAATATATTTTCTTCATCTGGATTAAACAAAACGAAGGAATATAATAAATGGTGACATTGATTTAAATTCAATTCAGTGGAATTCTGGACTTCTGGCCAAAATAATTCATATCGTTTGATTTGAAGGACTGGAAAACAAGCTGAAGCATTTAATACATGCCCATGGTATTCGTTAGATTTTAAATGTAAGCATTTAAAAATGTTGCAAAAACCTGCGTTTGATAGTCATTTAGATTCATCTGCTATTTGTATGTTATAGTCTAATGACATTGACTCTCCAAACAACAAACTTACTTTTATCAAGAAATTGTTTTTTACTTACTACAAAGAATAAAGACGACTCCTATTAAAATTTTATTTTCATCCATTTTATGGCTCCAGCTTCAATGAAATTTAGATCACAGTGTCACTAGCTAATTGTTTATTGATGTATCACATTCGTTACGATCTTGACCTAACAAACACTAGGTGGACACACACGTATTCTAATGTGCATAAACTTATCTATCATATCTGCTTTATTCATTAACAGTATGCCACGGACTGATTGCAATGATTTCATTGTTATTGATAACATTATCGCGTTATTATCGATATCTTCACACGGTCGCAGTAGGTTGGTAAATATTTAAATAATTGGACAAGTTAAAATTTTATTCAACTTCTTAATAATATGCGCGAAAGAGTTGCGTAAAGTTAAATATAATACCTACAGAGAATGATAAAACATGTAACATTCGGACAACTTAGGTACTTACAATAATTCTTAAAGTTTTAACCAATGCTTAATGTGAAGGTTTGATCATTTTGGTTGCATTAAGGTAGTAGTATTGTGATCTTAATTTACAAGCCTGCATCGATATTTCGTACCTACTATGAGGGCTTATGATCGTAACCACGTTTAATGGCGGTGTGGCCAAAGCTGTATAAAATCTTCATAGATCACATCACCAAAAAGACGTCCAATCTTATCAACTCAAACTTAGGATCGAAAAGACAGGCTATTTTTATCAAAAGGCTTGCAACGTATTTTTGCGAATCCTCGAGGGTTGTAAAAGTCCAACCACACAGAGGTTAGCAAAGCAAATACGAGACTACGGATGTTTTGGATGATAGATTTGGATGATTTTCCGTTTACTTTTGACCTTTCTTTTAACTAAAATTTACAACTCAAGGTCAACCGCATGTACCCTATAGGTTTTGGATCGAAAGGTTGATTATTTATAAAAATCATCTAAGAATACGCTTTTTATTACAATCATGAAACCTGCTATTATAAATTTAAATTGTTTTATAATACATATTTAAGTAAATATATTTGTTTCAGTAAATTGAACGCTATTTAGTATTACATGTTTTTGTTGTATTGTCTCATTGTTTCGGCGAACATCTGGTTTCATGCAACTAAATCTTTGAGTCGTTCCCTGTAGCCGATATCAGCAAGGACTGATCCTTGCTGATTTCTACACTTTAGAAACATATCTGAATATGTTTCTAAAGTGTAGATAAATGGAAAATTCCAGCATTTGAACAAAAGGTGTAAACTACATCCAAATTATGTGTCAGCATTACTTTGGTCACCGAAATACAAATTTACAGAAACTATGATTTAATATATAGTTGAAATCGTCAAAGAACTTTAAATCTTATGAGCTAATTAATTTAAAATTGTCAGGTTGTTAATTCGTTAATTGTATATTATTATAGTATTAAAAGCGCGATGAAATTTTAATTCAAATATGCGGTGTGTTATGAAAATCTAAAGAGTTATTTTTTAATTTCAACGGAAATATTTCGCAGCGAAGTCTAGGCGGGGCCGGTGCATACTCCAATGAAATTATTCTCCATTCGCCATCGTCGGACGATAAGCCGATTTCGTCTAACCTCGTTCAATCAACGAGCGTAGAGCCTGGCTGCAGCCGCAGAGATTTATAACTCGACAGATGCGATGCCATTTTAAAATAAATGTATTCGAAATTTAATTTTACATTTGTCAATTCAATGTTTTTCTCTGCAGTTTAATTGACCACTTATATTATTGTTTAGATGAAATTAATCAATTGTTGTTTATTAAATACACACTTGTTTCATTACCATTTATCATAAAATAATTCTTACCAACATCTCTAATAAGTTTTTGAAAAATAAAAGATCTTTAGATAATGTCAATATAATGTTTGAATTTACTGCAATTTAGAATATAAAATGTCTTTTGTGTTGAAACATCTTTTTTTGGATAGATATTTATATAATAGAGCTTTCTTTCTGGATAAATATTCATGTTATATAATTAACTTTTAGCATTTAATTTTTCTGTTCCAATAACACCGACACTTTAAAGAAAACTTACACTTTTTCTTGAAAATTAAATGAGACCTGTCCAGTCCTTACTTCCTTACTAATCCTTACTAATATTATAAATGCGAAAGTTTGTATGTATGGATGGATATTTGTTACTCTGTCACGCAATTATTATTGAAGATTCTAATAAAACTTTACAATGATATAGCTTATACATCAGAATAAGACATAGGCTATAATTAACAAAGATATTATGTGAATTATCCAAAATATAACAATAATTGTCAAGTAAGTAGGAAAAAATTCTGCCATCTGCGAGCTTTTCTGGTGTATAACGTTAGGGGAAGCCACGTGCTTATGAAATATAATTATAAAACATAAGCGTAAATTTCAGAAGAAGGCAAAACTTCTTGTTGAAATATTCTTTGTAAATGTTATTTGAGAGGAAAGCATACTGTTATATATTATAATGATATCTTGCAGTTATATTTATTCGGACGACACATGCGCAGTTTTGCCGCAATGGGCAATGCTTAAACTATGAAAAAATAAATAAACCTGAAGTTTTATGTGTAAGGTATCATATTAGATAAGATTTTATAATTAATCGAGATTTAGTTATACCCCTTATTTAGTTGAAATTTACATCTATTATTAGATATGTATGATAAAAAATTGTTTCTATTTTGAGAATTCGAGGTCCGGGTTAACGACGTTAAAGTAAAGGATTGTTGTTGTTAATAATGTTTTCTCTTTAGCGCTTTGAGCAATATCAAATGTAAAATGTAGACACTGTACTCTTATAACGTCAGCTTTGTAAGAACAAAGCATTCTGTTGTGATGCGATCGACCTAAGGCAACGGGCTTCAAAAGCTTTTGTACTTTGACTAGTTATAAGTGATTTTGCCATCAGTGGTTGAATTTGACGATAAATTAACATTATTGTATTAATTTCAAAACAAGATTTGAGGTCCATGACAACGTGGGACATTTAAGCCAAACTAAGCAAAACATTTAAGCCGTCACACTATTTGTGTGTATGTAAGTGATTATTATGATAGTTTACTAAGGAGGTCTTCCGTAGTTTTATATTTCATTTGTAATCGTCCTTGATGATCAATTGTATTAGCTTTAATTTTAGGAAGAGCGCATATGTATATTAAGTTCCCTAAAATTGAGATTTTCGTCGGTGTGGCAATCAGCCGCTTAGTTTATTGACTAAAGCGTCTGTGCATGAATCCGTGACGTGAGTTCGATTCCCGCAGCGGCGAAATTTTCCTTGTTTCTACAAATTTTAATGTTTACATCTTAAATTCCGAGTTTAAGTTGGATATCCCCCAAGATGACATAAATATCTACTAAAAATTTATACGAGTAAACTTTCGCCTTTAATACAATTTACAAGTAGGATATTCAATGGGAAGGAAAAGGCTCATTTTCAAGACCTTTCAATTGCCAATTAATAATCGGCAATTGTAGTGATTAAGCTTTAAGCTCCTCCTCAGCAAATACTACAGTGTATTGTTATGGATTAATAAAGAGGTAAATTAACTAACTTGTTAAACAGTTAAACACCACCACGCGTAGCACGCACTGCATTCACTTTAACAAAAAAATATCTGGCACAGCGCGTTCACCAGCAAACGCTAAGTCCCAGATTCGTAGTCTGTACTGATATATTTCTGCGCCAACCCGTTTCTGAATCACTGAGTCACTAACATTGTTTTAATATTTCTATATTTGTTATTTGATAGCGAGTCTGCATACGATCATTCGCTAGCTACGTAATTACATACTAAAATTTCGAAGATTAACGGTTTATCATAATAGTTTCGTAAATCTTGAGTATGCGCTGTTTTCATAGTATATACTAAACAAAATGTTACAATTGTATCAGATAACATAGGGCAAGGTTTTGGTTCGCTAATTTCAAAACATATAAATAATGTATACAATATTTGTTCACCGGGTGCCAGTTTCCAGAAAAATATAAATAAAATCTTGACATTGAATGTAAATGAAAATAGTACTATTGTACTACTTCATGGGGATAGTTCATCTGTTAGGAAACAGGAAATTATCAATAATATGGAAATATTACTGGGCTTACATTACAAAACTAAGTGTAAATTTATAATATGCGCATTTCCATATTCCTCCTTCCTTACAGAGGAACAAAATAAAGACATATATATTCTTAACATGACTATATATAATACAACTCACCGTCATAGTGACGCTTTCTTTTATTTTGACATAAATAGTTTTATTAAGTCTAGTTTTAAGGTGACAAAAAATACTTGGTATTTGCCATTATATTATAAGAAAATAATTGCTACTTTAGTAGCATATAATATACAAAACCCCGTTGTACATTGTACAACTAAGAACATTTTACTTAGCAATAATTTTACAAAAAACAATGTTAGTTTAAACTAAACATTGAGACAACACCTAGGCCACTTAAATTAAATATTGTACACCAAAATATACAAGGCATAGGTGGCAAAGAACCTGAAATTGAGCTGTTTCTTAGAAGATTTAACATCCATGTCATCTGCTTCACAGAGACATGGTTACATAAGCATTTTAATATTATAGATATAGAGAACTATAAATTGTTAAGTTCGTTCGTAAGAGCAAATGCTATTCGCGGTGGCTCTCTTGTGTTAGTAAGAACTGATATAGTCTGTAAAAATCGACAGGATATAGTAGCACACTCTGTCGAACGTTCTTTAGAATTATCCTGCGTTGAGAGTCAACAGTATATTATAGTATGCGTGTATCGACCCCCCTCAGGTGATTTCGATCTCTTTGAGTGTGTAATGGATGATGTACTTAAAAAAACTCTGTTCAAGTAGTAAATCAATAGTAGTTTGTGGAGATTTTAATGTGGATTTATTACAAGTGACACATCTTAGTAAACGACTTTTAAATTTATTTAGTTCATTAAACTTAATAATCTTTTTCATGAACCAACTCGTGTCACAAACTCATCCTCCACATGTATAGATAACGTCTTCTGCCACGATAATGTATATGATAAATATGTTATAAATTATCTGAG